ACACCAGCAGCTGGACTGGTGGTGTCTTCCTATGTGTGTTTAAGGTGCCCAATTGTCGTAGAAGGACGACAGTACAAGGTGAACTTAATCGGTTTACCTTTGAAGGATATGGATGTAATCTTAGGGATGGATTGGTTATCTACCAATCGCATTCTGATTGACTGTGGACAGAAGAGGTTGGTACATCCGGAATTAGGAGATGAACTTATTACATCAGCTCGGCAGGTTCAGAAAGAGCTACGAGAGGGAGCTCAGTGTTATTTGATTCTGACTCAGATGGATGAAATGAAGGAAAATATCCTGGAAGAGGTACCAGTTGTGAGAGAATTTCCTGATGTGTTTCCAGATGAGATACCAAGGCTACCACCTCAGAGAGAGGTCGAATTTGGGATTGATCTAATTCCTGGTTCAGGCCCAATCTCTATGGCACCATACCGTATGGCTCCAGCAGAATTGGCTGAATTGAAGAAACAGGTAGAAGATTTGCTGGAAAAGAAGTTCATTCGCCCGAGTGTATCTCCCTGGGGCGCTCCTGTATTGCTAGTAAAGAAGAAAGATGGGAGCTCCAGGTTGTGTATTGATTACCGGCAACTAAACAAGGTGACTATCAAGAACAAGTACCCGTTGCCGAGGATTGATGATTTATTAGACCAGTTACAGGGAGCATCAATCTTTTCTAAGATTGATTTGAGATCTGGATACCATCAGATACTGGTTAAAGAAGAGGATGTACAGAAGACGGCGTTCAGGTCGAGATATGGCCATTATGAATATGTGGTCATGCCGTTTGGAGTAACAAATGCACCTGCCGTATTTATGGACTATATGAACAGGATTTTCCGTCCTTATTTAGATAAGTTTGTTGTTGTTTTTATAGACGACATTCTTATTTATTCTAGAACTCGGGAAGAACACCAGGAACATCTGAGGGCGGTGTTGGCTGTGTTAAGAGAGAAACAATTGTATGCCAAACTTTCAAAATGTGAGTTTTGGTTAGAACAGGTGCAGTTTTTGGGACATGTAATATCGGCAGAAGGGATATCTGTAGATCCTACCAAGGTAGATGCAGTGTTAAAATGGGAACCCCCTAAGACAGTGACGGAAGTGCGTAGCTTTGTGGGACTTGCAGGATATTACCGGAAATTTATAGAGGGTTTCTCTAAGATAGCAACTCCTTTGACACAGTTGACCCGTAAGGATCAACCTTTTGCTTGGACAGATAGATGTGAGGAGAGTTTCCAGGAGTTGAAAAGAAGATTGTCTAGTTCCCCAGTGTTGGTGATCCCAGATGTGACTCAATCTTTTCAGGTATATTGTGATGCTTCTATTCAGGGGTTAGGTTGTGTCTTGATGCAAGATAAAAGGGCGGTGGCATATGCGTCGAGACAACTTAGAATTCATGAGAGGAATTATCCCATTCATGACTTAGAACTAGCAGCAGTGGTGTTTGCTCTCAAGATGTGGAGACATTATCTTTATGGAGTCAGATTTGAAGTTTTTAGTGATCACAAGAGCCTGAAGTATTTATTCGATCAGAAAGAGCTAAATATGAGACAGAGAAGATGGATGGAGTTTCTGAAGGATTATGACTTTCAGTTACTTTATCATCCAGGAAAGGCGAATGTGGTGGCTGACGCCTTGAGTAGGAAGGCAGTTCAGATGTCAGCAATGATGATGGATGAATTGAGATTACTTGAGAAGTTCAGGGATCTGCATCTAGATGTAGAGTTTCGTGATACTAGTATTAGTTGTGGTAGCATTACCATTACTAATGATTTTCTCGAGATGATCAGAGATAGACAACAAGGTGATATGACATTGAAAAGTGTTATAAATCAGTTAGGATTCGAGCAGACCATTGACTATAAGATGGGTGAGGATAATATTCTGAGATTTAGAGGAAGGATTTGTATTCCTGTTGACCAGGAATTGAAGAGAGCAATACTAGATGAAGGTCATCGGAGTCGTCTAAGTCTACACCCTGGTATGACTAAGATGTATCAAGATCTGAAGAAGGTTTATTGGTGGTCTGGTATGAGGAGAGATATTGCAGAGTATGTGGCTGCTTGTTTGACTTGTCAGAAAGCAAAGGTGGAACACCAAAGGCCGGGAGGAATGCTACAGCAAATGGAGATACCTGAATGGAAGTGGGATAGCATTACCATGGATTTTGTTACCCATTTACCACGGACAATTCGAGGGTACGATTCGATCTGGGTGATAGTGGACAGATTGACGAAGAGTGCACATTTCCTCCCTGTAAATCTGAGGATATCTATGGCTAAACTGGCACAACTATATATTCGCGAGATTGTTCGATTACATGGGGTACCATCTAGCATTATCTCGGATAGGGATCCTAGATTTACTTCAAGATTCTGGCAGACTTTACAAGAGGCATTAGGTACCCGACTTAGGTTGAGTTCAGCCTATCACCCCCAGACAGATGGACAGTCAGAGAGGACCATCCAGTCACTAGAAGACTTATTGAGGTCTTGTGTGTTGGATAATCTAGGAAGTTGGGATGAGATCCTTCCATTAATAGAGTTCACGTATAATAACAGCTATCATGCCAGTATCGGAATGGCACCATATGAGGCTCTTTATGGGAGGAGGTGTCAAACACCTTTATGTTGGTATCAGGATGAGGAGAAAGTGTTGATTGGACCTGAGCTACTCCAGCAGACTACAGAGAAGGTCCGAGAGGTACAAGAGAAGCTGAGAGCCGCTATGAGTAAACAAAAATCATATGCGGACCAGACGAGGAAACCTTTGGAATTTGAGGGGGGAGACCATGTATTTTTGAGAATCAGACCTACTACTGGAGTAGGAAGGGCAATTAAATCTAAGAAGTTGACTCCCAAGTTTATTGGCCCATATCAGATTTTGAAGAAGGTAGGTCCAGTGGCATATCAGTTAGCATTGCCACCTCATTTGGCGAATCTGCACAATGTATTTCATGTATCTCAGACAATGTGCAAATTAGAGATGATTTCTCCGTTGATGTGAGACCAGTAAGGATAGAGGATTCTCAGCTGAAGCAACTTAGAGGTAGAACTATCTCAATGGTAAAGGTAGTATGGGATCAGAAATCCGGAGACTTCACTTGGGAGATGGAGGATCAGATGCGAGAGTCTTATCCATATCTATTTCCAAGTAAGTTCATTTTCGAGGACGAAAATTTTTGTGGAGGGGAGATTGTGTACGTATGCCTTATTTTAATATTATATTAATATTACTGTGCAAGAAAACTTCGTAACGAAGTTTTCCTTTTGCACAGTAAAAATTTTCTTATATATGAATACTGAAGCGGGGGAGGAGGGAAATAAAAAATTTTCCTCTCATCCTTCTTCCTTTATTGTCTAAGTTTCAAGCAACGAGACTCTACTCGTGCAGGATCTGGTGAAACGAGAGAGAACTTGAATTAAGTGGGAAAGCTTCGGTAGAAATACCATACCAAGTAAGGGGAAGTTTAATTCATTCAGTATATGAAATTGAATTGTTGGGTACTCTGTGAATAAGGAATAGGAGTAGAGATATGAATTATTGGAATGTCTGATTTTGAAGAATGTCTGATTTTGAAGAATGTCTAATTTTGAAGAATTTCTGATTTTGATGAACTGTTCACCGTTTGGAAGTTTTTTTGAAATTCTTGAAATTAAGGATGCATTATATACTAAAATTGTTGTTTTTAACTTAAATTGAACATGTTTATGGTTAAATTTTGATTTGGAACTAATTTGGGTGATTGAAACTGAGAAATTTGAAATCTGGAATTTGAAAATGGCGGACTGGAAAATCTACAAAATTCGCTCAAGCAAAAAACACGTCGCTTGAGCGAGAATACCTGGAAAATTTGGGATTCTCGGGTCCTTTATCGCTCAAGCGACCAGTGTACTCGCTGGAGCGACGAAGTCTTCAAACAAAGGTGACTCTCCGGTCATGTCTCGCTCAAGCGACCGGTGTACTCGCTTGAGCGACGAAGCCTTCAAACACAGGGGACTCTCGGGTCATGTCTCGCTCAAGCGACCGGTGTACTCGCTTGAGCGATGAAGCCTCAAACAAATGGGACTCTCGGGTTCCATCTCGCTCAAGCGACCGGTGTACTCGCTTGAGCGAGCGAAGGAAGAAGAAAGGGATATGGTGGGGATTTTTTTAAAGATCAAGGGCAAAATAGTAATTTAATGATTTTAGAAATGATTTTAGGAAATATATATATATATATATATATATATATATATATATATATATATATATATATATAAGAGAGAGAGAATGAAAGTAAAGTGTTGTGACGTGTGTGGGTCAGACTAAGCCTGAGGGCTGATGCCCAGAATCAGTCCTGAGACATTATATATTGGCTAGACTGAGCCAGAAGGTTGGTGCCAGAATTAGTCAAATACTAATTTATTGACCTGAATGAGCCGTGAGGACAAGTGGTCCAGAATCCGGCAAATGTGAATAAATTTTGTATGTTTGAATGGTACCCGGGGTGGTACAGAGTACATTAGTGTAATAACTATGTCAGAGGATTCTGAATGAGGTCCCAGACTTCACTGATTGGTCGGGTCAGGTAGACTACGAGATCAGGTGGTGAGAAGTCGATGGGGGGATGACTGGTGGCGCGCTCGGAGGGATACTCCAATATGAGTGATGAAGGGCGCCAGTAATCCTACTCTGTGTGGAGGGTGGTCAGAATGGTACTGCGGGTACCGATCACAATGTGCCCACAGATGATAGCCTCTGAGTTCGGGTATAGTTAGGGTATACTTCCGGAAGGTGTCCTAGTGTGTTGATAATTTCGTAATTGATCATAATATATAATTATTACTTCTATATTTGTTTTATTATATCGAATGATTTAATACTTACCCCTATTTTTCCATGTGGATGGGACTGCGATGATCACTTTTATGTGGGAGCAGATCAGGAGTTGAGAGATGGTGATATGACTACTTGGACGGTAGGGATAGTTCAGTGGGATAGCTTCGAGGTAGCTACTTTTCAGCGAAGATTCGAACTCAATACCTTAGAGTTGGAGGCTAATACTCTAACCACTAAGCTACTAAAATTTTTTGATAACAATTTACAAATAAATTATATTTATATACAAATATATTTATATACAAATATATTTATATATTTATATATATTTATATATATTTATATATCTATATATCTATATATTTATATATTTATATATCTATATATCTATATATCTATATATTTATATATTTATATATTTATATATTTATATATTTATATATTTATATATTTATATATAATTAAATATTTATTTTTTAAAATTATTTAATTTAATAAATTATTATAAATTAATCTAATTATAATTAAATTAAATTATTAAATAAAAAATATTTTATTTTTTAATTAGGTGAATAATTAAATTATATTATATAATTTTACCGACGGATATATCCGTCGGTAAATAATTGTTAATTTACAGATGAATTTACCGACGGATATATCCGTCGGTAATTAATTGTTAATTTATCGATGGATTTACAGATCGGATATTTTCGTTGGTAAATTCATCTATAAATTATTGACAGATTTATCGACGGATATATCCGTCGGTAACTAATTATTATTTTACCGACGGATATATCCGTCTGTACTCATCAAATTCCTCAAATATTTTATATTCGTCGGTAATAATTATTTTTCGATCAGCTATAAATTCTTGTAGTGAATTTTTTAATTTATAGTTGCAAAATATGAGCAATTTGCTTGTCTAATAACAAAAATTATGATAGAGATTGATAAATTATTAAGACTCATTCTATTATTGATTATTACTAAGTAACTTTTTATACGACTGAAATGTCATATTCTTTTAATTAACATGGGCACCAAGTTTTTGAATTTTGATAACATGAGAATTCCAACTTAGAAACTTTTCATTCTTTAACACAAATGGCTTGTGTATGAAACTCATCATACTCCATCTTAGCTAAGCATAAAAGCAAATGGCAAACCAAACCCATGTGCTTCTCATAGATCACCATAAAGCTGAGAGCCACAGAGGAGGAAATGATTATTTATTTGTTTTTTTCAGGAGACATGACAGAAAAGATTTCAACTAAAATGCTGCTGAATGTATAATCTGCATACAACGTATATCAGAAGATGAATTTATTTATTAGTCTCAAAACCAAAGCCTGTAAATGGTGTGTTGTATATATATTTTTTTTTCATAAACTTATAAATTTCTTCTTCTATTATCATATACATGTGTGTGGTGTGGTGGTGGCATTCAAATTACTTGTGAGAGATTTAGGAGGAGGAAGTTCATTACATGACTTCACATGATTCAATATTTTTCAATCAAGACAAGGCTGTCGAGGCCACATGCATCAGCATGAATCATAAGAACATGTCACGCACCGAATTTATGAAAATTAATTATATAATATGATTATGTAATTATTTATCATAATTAATCTACAATTTAGTTAATATAGTTAAATTTGGATGTAATTATCTGATTCGAAATATAATTGATGATTATTTCAGTTCAATTAATTTGAAATATATGCTCATTTTTGGATTTATAATTACTATATATATATATATATATATATATATATATATATATATATATATATATATATATATATTCAAAGTGTTTTGCCATAACTTTTCTTATTTAGGTGTTTCTTGTATATTTAGGTGTTTTTTTATTAGTTTAATTAGTTGGTAGTCTTATTATATACATTTTTTTGTTTAATTAAATTATTTTATTAATAAATGTTTTAATTAATTTAGTCTATTTAAAAATTTTAATATTTTTCATTGATTGAAATTCACATTATTACTTTTATAAATTATCATTGTAAATTGTATGTTTATAAATTAAAATCTCAATAGTTATTGTGTTTTTAAATTTAGGTAATTGGAACTTTATTAATACTGAAATTATATTCAATAAAAAATAAATAATAAAAACAAGAAAAAAGTAATTAAGTCTATTTTTAATAGTAATTTTTTTATTTCTCATTATCTATTTTTTATTTTAAATATTAGCTAATTTTTTTTTCTCATTACAAAACGATATTTCAATAAAAAATAAAATTATAGATTTTAAGAATTAAAAATAACAACAAATAAAATTTATGATAATTAAAATAAACATTCACCTTATATATATATATATATATATATATATATATATATATATATATATATATATATATATATCAAAAACTATTTGTAAATATTGATATTAAAAAAATAAAAAGTTTATATTTTTATTTAACATATTTTTACGGTATCAAATTGTTATAGTCTTTATTCTTATTTTATAATTATTTATTATATTTTAATAATTATAAACCATCATAAAATAAATAATATTTTATAATTATTTAATATTTATTATAGATTTAAACAACTGTCAAAATAATTTAAATATTATTTTTTGTTATTTTATTAATTAGTTTAAATTTTAACTATTATTTATAAATTAGTTTTTAATAATTTAATAATTTAATAATTAATAAGTAAATAATTTATATTTATTTAAAATTGTTTTAAAATTTCTAATAATTGTAATAATATTTTTATCATAATAAAATAATAATATAATAATAACTTAAAACTAACTCAGATATACAAAAATAAAAACCATAATTCTCAAATTAATCAACGTTACCACTCTATTTGAACTAAGGCTTAATTATTTGTGAGAATAAGTGTTTGTGAGAACAGGCTTATGAGTCACATGAATAAGTTTTGAGCGGAGAAATTTGAATCACAGAAGCTTGAAGCGGAGAAGCCAAAAATAAAGGTGAGAAGCTTGGAATAAGTTACAAATGGTTTATTACGTAAGTGAAACAATAAAAAGTTATTACAAAATGCTAAATATGACGAGGAAAAGAGATTTTGGAAATTAAAAAATCATTACTTTATTACATTAGTTGAAGTTCTTTATTTGATTTAATCAAAATTTATGTTAGTAGTTGCATTGCACAGGAGTTCTATTTTTATTAATTTGGTTTATAATTTCGTCAATATTTATGATAAAAAGTAAGTAAATTGGTTAAGTTAAATAATTATTGAGACTCTACCTGTTCAACAATGTAATTTCGACTAAATTTAATAAACTTTAAAATTATAACAACTTCAAATTAATAAAATATTTTCTCAATAATTAGTCGTTAATGCAAGTTGAAATTATATAAAACTTTAACTTTTTACTAATAACTACCTTATCAACATATTTATAGACTTAAAATTTTCGTCAAACATAAAATATCACCATTTATTAGCTTTCTAAATAAATATATCTTAACTTTATATTTTTTTACATGAAGAATATAATTACTTGCAAGATAAATGATGCATCACTATAGTGATGAACACTATCACATTACTTCTTATCTAATTTCTAAAAAAAAATCTTCAACCAAATTATTTTCTTATTGACAATTGTGAATTTTCACTATTGATTTTGGAGAACAAATAATATATTATTAATAAATAAATATAAAAAAGACAAAAATATAAGAGACCAAAATTAAAAATATTCAAACATATATATATATATATATATATATATATATATATATATTTAATAATCATTAAATTTGGGGGTTAAAATGATAAATACATATATATGTTACAAATGACCCTTGCGAGCTCCTAAACTTTTTCATTCCCATCCTAACCTTATATTTAAAATATAAATGATATTTCAAGGGGATTTATTGGAGAAAAACAACACCAACGAGATATGAACTACACTCACATACAAGATTGACATCACTCTCAACCAAAAACCTTAATATATTAAATTATGAGTCATTCTTTTTTATATATGTTCAATTTTCTCATTCTTACTCAATGTATAAAACTTATACTCACACTTATATTTCCTAACAAATATTAATCTTAAAAAAAAAATCACAACCAATTAGTTTATTGATTTTATTTTTTTCTTTTACCTTTTTCTCATTAACTTTTTTTAATCAATTTGATGTTTTCATTCTCTTAAACCAAATTGATTAACACAAAATTAATTTTTCTTCTTTTTTCCTTTCTCTACATATTGTACATCAATCTTAGAATTATCTAATATTCACTAGTGCAAAAAAGGACTTTTACATCAGGTATTTAGGGCTTTTTACGTCGTATTTAAGACTGACGTTAAAACGGGAGACGTAAATTTACGTCGGACCCTTTAGCCCGACGTATATTTATGTCAGTTATCAAGACTCGACGTAATTTTGCGTTGCATATACCACTAAATAGACATTAAAACTTTCAGAAATTAAAAAAAAAACAGCAAATTTACGTTGCATATTGGTATACGCGACGTAAATTTACATCACATGTACCAATATGCAACGTAAATTTACGTCGCATATACCATATGCGACGTAAATTTGCTATTTTTTTAAGTGGGTTGATTCTGTTTTACAACTAAAACCTGCAAATATATATTACAATCAGACAGTCCAGAGGTTCAATTTTCTTTAGCTAGTAAATTAAAAATATAATATTATATAATTCAAACTACATAATAAAACAATATAATACAAACATACAAACTAAAAGTTAATACAAACTAAGCTACCTAAACTACATAATACACACAATATAATATGAACAAGAACTTAAAAAATTATGTACTAGAATTGTTGAACAAAAAATTTTGCTCATTGTTCTCTAATTTGTGTAATATCATATTCTGGTAATGGAGATGGATCTTGAAATACCTGAAACATTAATTTGACTCTTGTAAACATACAACATGAATAAAGTTAAATAAACTTAACTAATGTTAAAAGCAATTACCTCCGTCCAAGAATTAATTATACCCGCACAAACTATGACTCTCATCCAATACATAAGATAGTAACCACATTCAAACGAGTCTGTTTGCTTATTACACTGAAATGATGAAAAAAACATAATGTTATTTTCAAAATTTAAATACAAACAATAATTATGGTATTCACTTATATAAATAAGTTTCTAACCTTAGGATAAATGAACTGCAAAGTCTTTGTTCTAGGTTTTTCACTTAGAACATTAGTTCCGAGACACGATTCTAAGTGAAAAAAGTCATATATTATTCAATATGTATTTACAATTTAAAAACATAATTAATGAATAAAAGATAAAGTTACCCTTGTAATAAGCTTTTCATTTCTTGACTCGGTTTCCGATGTAATGAACAAAACCACACCACAGTGTAATCTCGGAGTATGATTACAATTAACTGCCAATGGGACCTACATTGTATGACATAAAAATTAGTTACAAAAATATAAATTAAAATACATAAAATACAATATCACGTATCATATCCTCTAGATTATCATTCATCCCTTCATCAAAATTGTCTGTAGTTGACAAAGTTGGGATGTCTAATATTTCTCCATGTCATGTCCATATTGTATAACTCTTAATAATACCATAAACAAACAAGTGATCACGTATATCCTAAAGTTTATGACAAATTTGATTCAAACAACGAACACATGGACAATAATATGTCCCTTTCATAGCTTTTCCATTTTCACTAACAAATTTCAAAAATTCCTCAACTCCCTTTTCGTACTCTTCACTAATACGACGTGCATTCATCCAACTTCGATTCATATTATGTTATAAAGTTTCGTTTGTCACTCTTAGAGATTTAAAAATTATATGTAAAAAGAAATTAATATACAAACAACAAAGCACGTAAATGTAGTGTGTAAACCGAAAATGCACTCAAACAAATAAACAAATAATTACGTTCCAATGACAATCCAGTGGAGACATTCATACAATAACGTGATTGAGATCCCCAAAAACAATCACAGATTCAATTTAAACATATAGCAATGACATAGAACACTAACCTCGAGTGTAGACGAAAAATGATTTCAAACTCGAATCCAATCGGGGAGAAATATCAAGTTCGTAAAATGACACACAATGTTGATGTTTTTCACTGTCAAACTGATCGAAAATGGTGTGTAGAGGTAGCTGTTGTCGTCTTTCTCAAAAACCCTTGCTGCGTGAGACCAGGGAGTGGGTCTGGGGGAAATAAAAGGGACTTTTTACGTCACGCACCCCAGCACGCAACGTAAAAAACCTCTTTTACGTCGCAGCTACGTGGCGCGACGTAAAAGAAGGATTTTTACGTTGCGTGCTGGGGTGCGCGACGTAAAAGTTTTGTCTCTTATTTACAAAATTGTCACCGCATTTTATTTACGTCGAATATTTTTACATGCAACGACAATTGGATGACGTAAAAGCCCTTTTTTCACTAGTGATTATTTTATTTCTAGTTTATCTTTATTAAGATTTATTATCATATTTTTTTAAATATTTTTATTCTTATTTGTCAATGATTAAAAATAATGATAATTATAACTTTTATTTCTAAATAATATTAAATAAAAATTAACTTATTAAATATTTTTTATAAAATATATTTTAAAATGATAATTAAAAAAATAATTATTTTATACATATAATCAAATGTTTAAATATAATAATAATATAATAATAAATTATAGTATTATTATTATATATATTAATATTCATATAAAAAGTTGATTAAATATTTATATATATATATATATTTTTTAATATGTATAATAAATTAAAGTATATATTTATTATTTAATTAATTGTTATAAAATAAAAAATATTTTTTTACATATAAAAATATTAAAATTAATTTAGTATAAATATAACTATTTTTTTTATAAATAATATAGAATAAATACGAATCTATGAGAAAATTTGAAATCTATCAGATATAAAAATAAAGATATACAGAACTATTAAAAGAAACAAAAAAAAAGTCTGGAGAGACAAAATCCACCCCGTATGGGCTCATTATCATGCTTAAGATCAACGTGTAAAGAAAAAATTATAAGTAAAAGAAAGATTTCTTGTCTTCTAAGTGCACCTATTGAAACCTTAACACCTTCTCACGCTCTCAATAAGTGGAAAATGATGATAGTCAAAAAGTGTATCAAGATGACACATCATCATCTATGATGATAAAAAAGCACACATCAAAAGTTCATAGAACTAAAGTATTTACAAAATCGTATGAACAATAATCCCTCCATAAACAAATTATTTTTTCAAAAAGGTAAAAAAATCAACTTAAAAAATATACAAAATATCTACTTTAAAAAACTTTCTTACACCATGAAAAAGTTATAATTTGCTAAAAGATTTGACTATTCACAACATAAGCTAATTTAAATGGTTAATATTGATATCATAATTCCACATATCTTATACTCAAAATTATAAAGAATAAAAGTTGATATCCGTACAAGAATAAAAAATATAAACCCAAGCATAGATGTCATCTTCATGTAATGATTAACAATTAAAAAGAGAAACAGTAATTAAAAAATGAGTTAAAAGGACACAAGTTGAATCTAAAATCAGTCAATCTTGAATATCTTTAAGAACTTTGAACTCATTCCCTCATATCATGCCTAACTTAATCTAAATTGATAACAACAATCATTTAGAGTTAATTATTTAAGATAAAATAATTCTGAGAAATATTATACAGAGTCTTATCACTAAGATTTTCCGAAAATTTACATAACCAATTTCGAGTGCAAATCTCATTTGTACATGATAAAAACAAAATAAGGTTTTATATTTAGAAATTACACACCTATTTTGACTAAAAACTAACTCTGATTATACCATTATAGAGAGTATGAAAAACCTTTTCTCATTAACCTTAATGACATTATCATCTATTATTATTATTATTATTCATATAAGTAAATATTTATTTGACTCTTGTCAGATTTGGTTTCACTCGGGAATATTTTAAAATCACAGAGGGGGCATGAATAGCAAGCCCATAAGTCGAGCAAACAAAATATAAATTTCAATAAAGTTGTAATGAGAGTATTGTGATTTTAGGAAATATGGGGTGCAGGAAGAAAAAAAATGAAAAGGTGTTGTAAGTTGATAGATAACCTTAATATTGGGCCGAGTAGAAGTTGTTTCGGAAGCAGACGAGGGCCCGGTTTAGAACCCCTGATCGTCCCACCGTGACGGTGTTGCCTCGCTCGCAGAGGCCAGCCGAATTTGCTGCGTCTCCTTCTTGACCACGGAACAGTTCATCGCCAATTCCAAACCTGAGGGAACCAACCCATCAACGTAACCTTCTCTCGCTCTCTGAATCGTTGCACTTTCACACCCAACGACCCATGGCTTCCACTTCCACACCTCAAATGCACTGAAAGCCATTTCCATCTCATTCCCTCAAACCCATGCACTGCGCAATGGACTTCACCAGGCTCTCCACCCCCAAACCTGCCCCCATCTTCACGCGTCCCCTCACCTGGGTCACCTCCACCGCCCTCCGCCACCAACGCCGCCACCTTCCTCCCCCAACCCCCCCACCAACCCCTCCGCCGCCACCTCACCCCACTCCTCTGCAAACCTCTTACGACGCGCCTCTCACCCTTCTACCTTCCATTCTAACCAGCAGGGTTCTAGATTCTTCCAAATGTAAATCCATTTTGCCCCATTTGTCCCCCCACGAATTCGATCGCTTATTCTTGCCCCTCCACCACACCGTTAACCCCAAAACGACACACGACTTCTTCCGTTTCGCCACTTCCCGTTTTAAGTTCCGGTTCACCGTTCGCTCCTATTGCCTCCTCCTCCGCTCGCTTCTTGCTTCCAGTTTTTTGCCGCGCGCCAGGTTTTTGCTAACTCGTTTGATCGACGGCCACGTTCCGACGTCGTTTGACGACCGCGAGACCAGGCTCCGCGAAATAGCTTCCTCAATGTTGGAGCTGAATCAGGTTTCGGATAAACGACTCGGCGAATTGGATTTGTTGCTCCACATTCTCTGCTCTCAGTTCAAGAGTTTTGGCTTCCGTTACGCTTTTGATATTTTCATCATGTTTTCGAAGAAGGGCGTTTTCCCGTGTTTGAAAACTTGCAATTTTTTGATGAGCTCGTTGGTGAAGGCCAATGAGCTTCACAAGAGTTATGAAGTGTTTGATGTTATTTGTCAAGGCGTTGCGCCTGATGTTTTTACGTTCACCACCGCCATTAACGCGCTATGCAAGGGAGGGAGAGTTGGAGAAGCTGTGGATTTGTTCCGCATGATGGAGGGGCACGGTGTTTCGCCGAATGTGGTTACTTACAACAATGTGATTGATGGGTTGTGTAAGAGTGGGAGGTTAGATGAGGCGTTTCAGTTTAAGGATAGGATGGTTAGGAGCAATGTGAATCCGAGTGTGGTGACCTATGGTGTGCTCATCAATGGTTTGATGAAGTTGGAGAAATTTGAGGAGGCGAGTGAAGTGTTGGTTGAAATGTACAGCAAGGGTTTTGCTCCCAATGAGGTTGTGTTTAACGCACTGATTGATGGGTACTGCAGGAATGGGAATATGATTGAGGCATTGAGGATTAGGGATGAGATGGTATTGAAAGGCGTGAAGCCTAATTCTGTTACTTTTAATACCCTTTTACAGGGTTTTTGCAGGAGCAATCAAATGGAGCAGGCTGAGCAGGTATTGGGGTACATATTGTCTAGTGGTTTGTCTGTTAACATGGATGCGTGTTCATATGTGATCCATCAGTTGTTGAAAAAATCTAGTTTGGATTCAGCTTTAAAAATTGTGAGAGAGTTGTTGTTGAGGAACATCAAGGCTAATGATAGCTTGCTAACCCAGTTGGTCTGCGGACTTTGTAAATGTGAAAAACATTTGGAAGCGATTGAGCTTTGGTTTATGTTGGCAGGTAAAGGGCTTGCTGCCAATACAGCGACCTCAAATGCGCTTCTCCATGGACTTTGTGAACGAGGGAACATGGAGGATGTTTTCAAAATACTCGAACAAATGCTTGAGAAAGGTTTGTTACTGGATAGGATCTCATACAACACACTTATTTTTGGCTGTTGTAAATGGGGTAAAATTGATGAAGCTTTCAAACTCAAGGAAGAGATGGTTCAGCAAGAATTCCAACCAGATACGTATACCTACAATTTCCTAATGAAATGGTTGGCTGATATGGGTAAAATAGATGATGTTCATAGGCTTTTGCACGAAGCTGAAGAATATGGCATAGTTCCCAATGTCTATACACATGCACTTTTATTAGAAGGATATTGTAAGGCTGATCGGATTGAAGATGCTATAAAATTGTTTAAGAAACTAGTTTATGAGAAAGTAGAGCTAAGTTCTGTTGTTTATAACATACTTATTGCAGCCTACTGTAGAGTTGGGAATGTGACAGAAGCCTTCAGACTGCGTGATGCTATGAAGAGTGGGGGCATGCCACCTACTTGTGCTACATATTCTTCTCTAATACATGGAATGTGCTGTTTTGGCCGTGTGGATGACGCAAAGGAAATTTTTGAAATAATGAGAAATGAAGGCTTGTTTCCGAATATATTTTGTTATACTGCTCTAATTGGTGGTTACTGTAAGCTGGGTCAGATGGACAAAGTGGAGAGTATCTTACAGGAAATGTCTTCAAAGAGTATACAACCTAATAAAATTACATACACTATTGTGATTGATGGGTATTGTAAATTAGGAAATGTGAAAGAAGCTACAAAAATTTTAAATGTGATGATAAGAAATGGAATAGCTCCAGATACCATTACTTACAATACACTAGAAAAAGGATATTGCAAGGAAAGGGAGCTAGAAGTTACTTTACAAAGTGATCATATGTCTAACATAGGACTACCCTTAGAAGAAGAAATTACTTATAACACATTGGTTCACAGGTTGCATCCACATACAGCAGTTATCAATAAAGAACGATGAGGAAACTTCTGAAACTTTTGATGTTTAGTTGATGCCAGGACGTATATTGTTGAGCCTTCCATTGTTTAGTTTGATTCTAAAATGCTTGCTATATGTTAGATGAAGTTTCTTATGCTTGATCTCTACCTGCGTGGATGACAAGCAACGACTAAAGCAGCATACAATAACTTGGCTTTCTTGTTAAGAGAGGAGTCATGGTTTTCAGAGGTTAGTCGTTTAAGATAATTGCTTTTTTTTTTCTTTACATTGTAGTTGTTAATTTTGGTTTTCCCTTGTTTTGATTTGATTTGATTTTTTAAACAATCATATGATAATACTACTATAGGAAGATGGCTGTTTTAAGCATTTGCTCCATAGGAAAATATTTATATTTGGTGTTATTGATGCAGAATGAATATATGATTTATCTGAGTTACTTTTGGGATACTTTGGGGATATTGTCTTATTTTTGTCAAATTATTGATTTTAGGAAATTAGTGTTAGATTAGGATTTGAGGATTTTGACCACCCTTAGGTTGTAAATACTTCTTTAGATGCCCCATATTAGTCATTATTTTAACATTGTTTAATTAGAGCGATTAACGTGTGTTTTTTCTGTTAAACCCAAACATTCTTGGTTCCACATTGTATTCTCTTGATATTAATGGTTTTAATTATGTCCTGTCCACCGTCATGTTCTCTGGATGTTAGAACCATATCTACATTGTCCATCTTGTATATTTTTCTTATTGTTAAAGATTTATTGGTGCATTGATAATTATAACAGTAATGTTACTATTTTGCCTAAACAATTTTGATTATTTTACATGATCATTCTGTGAAGGCTGATGGAATGATTTCAACTTTGGATTCCTGTTTTATGGTGTGTTTATTTTCACATTTTTCTTCCAATTTCAAACTCTAGTTCAGAATAAGTTGGACACTATATCCTGCAATGTAAGTTGACTACTTTCTTTCGAACAATTTGTTTGGGAAATTACGCAATTTTACTTTCTCCCTTTATTCTTTAATAACATTACTTTCATCTTAAAAAATGTTTAAGATAATATATATTGCATAACATTTACGCAATTTTACGTAATAAGACATTTTTAATATTCAATTTTTATTTTTTGGTGATCGAGTAGATGTCATAGTGCAGGGATATGGTTTCTCCTTATCCATGTTCCACTCATGCCAATGGGAGATACCCTCATGATTGGAACAAGAAGAGTGATATAGCCAAATGGTCAAATTGATATTTCATCCATCTTCTTTTCCGTTTGTTGTCTGGTGAGGGCCTCTTAATTGATTAGTTTCATTCATATATATGTCCAATGTATGATATGAGCACTTGATGGCCTCTTTTGCGTATATCTATGTTAAATTTATCTTTAGCTCTGAACCTGTCATATCTAAAGGCATTGTTGGATGGCAAACAGCAGGGGTATTGGAGACAACATAAAAGATTGAAGAAAAACAGCCAGGGGATCTTCAATAGTAAACATGGTACATTTACTAGATCCTCACCAGCGCAATGACGAGGATCACACTTGTCAGATACAATGTTTTAGCTAAAGCTGAATGTTAAATATTTGAAATGGTAGCTACACTCTTATTTGATTTTAACCATAATTTTATATCGCTTTCTTTTCCCAACCACCATCACCAACTACCCCACAAGTTACAGAAAGAAAATAACAAGAAATTCAACGAACAGGAATCCATCTCATTCGAATGATTCTGCCATACTTAGGGCAGGAGGGAAACATGATTTTAGGAAACGGCTACACGAATAATGCATAGACTATTTGAAGTATATACAGGACAAGTGGACACGCTTTATAGATTGTATGTGAGGGGTTTTCTTTTCCTCCCTCGGAATTTTTCGTTCTATAGATGTAAATTTTATGTATTTGATCTTATGAATTTTTGAATTCATATTAATTTCTTCAGGGTACGTGCTGGTGTTAAGATAACTGGTGGATTGCGAAGCTTAAAGACGCTCTTTGCATTAAGGAACATGTGATTTTGATGATTGATAGCTAACAAACTTACAAATTGGAGGTGACGATACATGCTCTGGTGGATAGGGTTAGAGTATTAAATTTCTGAATTTAACTGGGCCAATGACCTTTTGGTTCCCCCCTTCTTCATTAACTGATTGTTCCCTATCTGCACTATTAGATGGTTCCCTAGATCTGAGCTCTTTCTGAATAAGGCTGGAAGAAGACGGCAAGAACACGTATAAATATGAATGGGAAACCCCCGTCGTAAGTGTAGGTATACTAGTGTTTCCACCCGGCAATGCTTGGGTTATTGTTTGTATTAATGTTTTTGGCCTTTGAGAGTATTATTCACATGGCTTTATTTGTGAAACTACTTGTTGATATAAATCAATCTATCTCTGTTAATTTTTAAAAATTCTTAGTCTGAGAAAATGAGTTTAAAAGATAAGTTTTATTATGAAATATTAACGTTCTAGTGGATGATGCTGATATAAATTGTTTATATTTAAAACTCAGTTCTAAATATGACAATTATTTACACCCACACACACACATATATATATATATTATCATGAATCATTAAGAAAAATTAAACAATGACTATGTTAATCTTTTAAACAAAATAATTTGATTCTAGTTTCTAAATATTATATTTAATGGATTAAAAAAAGTTTGAAAATACTTATTTTAGTCGTTTAAATTTCTTGTTGAACCGAATAAAAAATTTATTTAAAGTTTAACAATTTATGACTGAAGCAATTTAAAAAAAATAGAATTTTTAAATAAATAAAATATCATAATTTTGTAATATTTAAAAATATCATTGTATTTAATTTTCACAAATAAAATAAATATAAAAGTCTAAATAAAATATACCATAATAATCATATTAACTAATAAATTACAACAACGTCCATCAACCAAACAAATTAACATGCAAAATAAAGATAAGTTGAGCAAACATGTTTAGTATATTTATTTTGTTCTTTTCTGTTATTGCTTTCCCACCCTAGTCTCTTATATTTCCCAATATGTTAATGCAAAAACTAAAAATGACATCTTTCCACAATTTTTTAGTTTTTCAATCGTGAGGATCTATTACACTTTTTTTTATCTCATCTCACGCATCTTATATTATATCTATAAAACCAAATATATATTATTTATTTATATAATATAAAATATAAAAGATGAACCTTTTTTTCTCGTACTCTCACCTCTTCCTTTGTAGAAAATGGAAGAAACAGCTTCCGTAGGACGTGGCGTTGTTTGGAAACTGGACCGATTGGAACCGAAAAGATGGTTTATCGGATGACAGGTTGGAAGTGAGAGAGTATGCATGCATGTGTAATCTAATGTCAATGTGCAGCGTCGTCGACGAGGATAAGAAAAAGGAACATAAATCGTGGGACAGACATCACCGTCGAACAAAGTGTCAAAGAAAGGGTCAACAATGTCCACACTCATTTTTTTTTTCCTGGGGTCCCACTAAAATAATCACCGACATATGCGCTCCAGTTGTTGCTGCACCCTTTGGTTCCACAAACCTATATCCCCAACCAACGTTCTTCAAACCAGAGATTCTGAAATTTCTTAATCAGAACACTGCTATATAAATGTTGATGCAATGCCGTACCTAAAAAATTACTCATAAGTTTCTACTATTTTGTTTAATTCTCATTATCCTACGTAAGAAGGTGATTGATGAAAGAATAAAAAATACAATAAAATCATATTCAAATTTACGATTTCTTCAAAAATAATTAAAAATAAAATCATATCATGAAGTAGATTTCTTCTCATTCAAATAATATTAATTTTATTAAAATTACTTATTTTGATAATTAAAAAAAATGCACCAGAAGGTGCTATTCTTTTTTTGTCTTTATCTTTTTCTAGTCTATTCTTTTCCTCTCGCAATAAAGCTTCACAGGTACGCGTTAACGTAACCACTCTAATAAAAGCAAAATAATATAGGAGAAATAAAAATAAAGAAAAAAGAAGATAAAAATAATATGTTTATATAAGATTGTGTTCTTGCAACTTTCTTGTGCATCAACAACATAATCTATCTTCCTCTGTGAATACGTGTATGTAGCTGTAGTATTTTATAGGCTATCACTTTCCTGAACTGGCTTTCACTTAAGGTAAAGCTTACTGTGTTTCATGTTTTTCTTCTCTATATGTATATTTTGTCCATACTTTTTTGCCACCGTTTTTCATTAGTAGATTTTGGGTGTTGGAAGTTTCTATTATGGGGGCAAATTCAGTGCTGGAAAAGTTATAAACTTTAACCAAAGTAAACAGTTGTTGATCTAGGAAGTGTTGGGATGGATCCATTATCTGTTTTTGGGCCTAGTTTGCAGGATGAATGCTGGTTAATATATTTTCTTTATGTGTTGTTATGGCCTGATTGTCAGATGTGGAAATGCTAGTTTGTGGATTTTCCATTGTAGGTATTAAGCGGGGGTATTGAATTAGTTAAGCTTTCTGACGCCAAACAGATGAAGTTGTTTGCTGATTCTGTGATTGTTACTGTGGATTTAAAAAGTTTCAACTTCCTTTGCAAGAGCTGTGCTAATAATATCTTGTAATTAATGTGCTTATGTTTTTCTTCTCTGTTCTTTGCATATTTCTTTGTGGCCTTTCATCTGCATTTCTTTTTTTGATGCAAGAATTCAAAATGGATAGTGTTTTGTTTCTCTGGAGTAGATGTTCTACCGAAGAGTTCGCAAATAATTTCTATAAGCCTGAAAACTTTCTCTATTAAAACAAGAGAACATCAGAGGTTCCTTTATGCCAGTTCATGCTCAGCTCAAGGATCATCTCTGCCTTTTTTATTCCACGTATAAAATCAAACTTATTGGTTGATTATTTTGGGGAAATTAGAAGTTTATTGGTAACTCAAGTGATGCGGTAGCAGATGAGAGGATAGGAAAATGATATAAACTTTTCCTTGTTTTGTGTGCAAAATAATGTCTTGTTTTTTATGCTTAAGTTTATTGTTTTCGATTTGTTTGATTCGTGCAGAATGGAGACTAGTAGAATGGGCCAATGGTTAAGTGTACTGATATGTGTATTAATGTTACTAAAGGCAGAAGGGGTTCCTGTGGGAATCACTTTTGTTGAAAATGCAGTGGCAAAAGGAGCTGGTGAGAAATATCTGTCATGATCTTCATCTACTTCGCCTCTATTCTTAGGATAGTAGTTTTGAAATTGATGTTTGATATGTTGTGCAGTTTGTTTGGATGGGAGTCCACCGGCTTACCATTTCCATAAGGGATCTGGAGCAGGGATTAACAACTGGATAGTTCACTTTGAGGTATTTCTCCTTCTGCAAGATGGCTTCTATATTATGAACCTTTTACCAACTCGAGAAAACGTTCATTACATTTTTTTTTATTTCTTTTATGTGTATGTTCCTTTTGTGTTTTCTAAGTAAGTTTACAAATATTGCTTTGTTAACCTGGCAACCGGATCAGAAGGGTAATTTGTAATTCTACATATGGGTTGGGTTTGTGTCAAGATTTATGAAGTTGTTCCCAAAAACATGAATTTTGAGAATGTGAAATTTCTGTATTTGGTACTAGTTTATGTTAAAAAATATCCCATGTTTTCCATTATCTTTATTTCATTGGTGAGGGGGTGGGTATTTCCATGTCAACAACCTTTTACTCATATCACTAGCATATCTCTTTTTACATTTCATAGAGGTGCCAACATTGGTCAATTATCTTGCCCTTCTTGGTAAAACCTACACAATATAGGAAATGTGGAAAAGTTCTTATTTTTGTTAATGATCTCTAATACAATTTATTTTAGGGAGGAGGATGGTGCAACAACGTTACTTCTTGCCTTTCCCGTAGGGACACTCGGTTAGGCTCATCTAAGAAAATGGATACCCAACTTTCCTTTTCTGGATTTTTTAGTAACGGTAAAAAGTTCAATCCAGGTAATGTCTGTTAATCAATGAACGGTTTTTGTCTGCTTGTTCTCATGAACCAATCCCTAAAAATTCTACATATTCCAGATTTCTATGATTGGAACAGAATCAAGGTTAGGTATTGTGATGGGTCATCATTTACTGGTGATGTTGAAGCTGTTGATCCAGTAAGTTTTGCAAATTCAAAGGAATTTTTTTACACTGTAAATTTGTGGGAAAATATTAATTAATATTTTAAGCTAATTTTCTTTCTGCTGAGGCTTTATTTTATTATTTTGTACATCAGGCAACCAATTTGCACTTCAGAGGAGCAAGGATTTTTTCTGCTGTTGTTGAAGATTTACTAGCAAAAGGAATGAAAAATGCTCAAAATGTATGAGACATTGATAATCACCTACTCTTGACTTCATCTTGAGTAATTTTTTAATTCACTCATTGGCACTTGTAACTTCAGGCAATTATCTCTGGATGTTCCGCTGGAGGATTGGCTGCAATCTTAAACTGTGACCGATTCAAAACACTACTACCTGGAACAACTAAAGTGAAATGCCTTGCAGATGCTGGTTATTTTATCAATGTGTAAGCTGCTTTATTTGCTTTCTACTTATCCTTTTTCCCTGAATTCTTTTGGAGTTTGTTAAGTCATGTAATGATTCAATATGTTTTTGTTTATACAACAGAAAGGACGTCTCAGGGGCACAACGCATTGAAGAGTTCTACAGTCAAGTTGTTCAAACACATGTACTTGTTCTTTCTCTCATTATTTTTTCCTTTACCATTGCTAGCTTATGCTGTTAATGTTTTCACACTTTCTATTTGGAAGAAACTTTCTGAAGCTTTCATCCAATGGAGACTGACATTTTTATCTTCTTTATTTTAGAGCTCAGCTAAGAATTTGCCTGCATCCTGCACTTCAAGACTCAGACCAGGGCTGGTAAGTTTGTTGATTCCAAAGTCTTCTACCTTCGTCGCATCTTTGGTGTTACTAATGCTTCTTCTGAACAATTGTGTAGTGCTTTTTCCCACAAAATGTGGTATCACAAATCAGTACGCCAATCTTCTTCGTAAATGCAGCCTATGATTCATGGCAGGTCAGATTATTCTCTTTCTTTAGAAATGTCATTTTAATCCTTTGGAATATATTGCTCACGCTTAAAACTGCCACTATTTTTATATTCATTGATCAATTTGTGTTATTTCTGACATTTATCTTTTCACAAAATTCATATATGAGGATTTATACAGAACAATGTGATTATTTTTGCTTAACATTCCAGTGAAAGAAAATATGATTGCTTAATTAACACTGGTGAAAAGTCTGCTTACATATCCCAGAAGGATCTTGTCACAAATTGAGCTAAGGGTTTTCTACATAGTATTTTTATCTTAGCATGCTATTTTCCGTACCACTATGAACATTTTGTTTTCCGATGAGAAAATTATAAATGATATATGATTGAATGCTGAATCATATTTCCCCCCCAATAAAATGCTTAATAACTCATCGCCATCATAAAGTTGACAATTAATGTTTCCACTGCATATTGATCTTAATAAGTGATGACAAATCTTCTCTGCTTCCTAACATACTGCTATCATTCAGATCAAAAACATTTTGGCACCAGGCGCTGCTGATCCCCATGGCCAATGGCGTGAATGCAAGCTTGATATAAAAAACTGCTCACCTAATCAACTCGGTGTAATGCAAGGTGAACATCTCCTGATCTGAACTTTTAACATGTCACACTGAAATTCACTGAACAAAACTCTAGGGTTTTTTTCTAGGCTTCTAAACAACATCCTAAAGCTGTCTAAAATTTGTCCTGCCTCTGTATACACTCTTTGACATATATCATTTGTAAAAACAAAGTACTGGAATCATAATAACATGTGCCATATTAGTCTTCTACCATTTCGTTGATGGCTTCTAGGAAACTATGAAAATTTTCACATTTCTCATATTATACAACAGTTTGTGACCTCATTTAATGCATGATTTCAGCATTCAGGACTGATTTCCTAAGTGCATTTGGTGCGGTTGGGAAATCACCATCTAAAGGGCATTTTATAGATGGTTGTTATGCTCACTGCCAAACTGGAACACAAGAGACATGGTTGAGAAATGACTCTCCTGTGCTAGGCAACACAGTAAGAAACTGCACAAAAATTTCCTTTCTACAATGTATGTTCATCAAAATTTCCCTTTTTGACGTAGTTGCTTGACACTTTGCAGACAATTGCAAAGGCAGTGGGAGACTGGTTTTATGATCGAAGGCCTTTCAATCAGATAGATTGTGCCTACCCTTGCAACCCCACCTGCCACAATCGTGTTTTTGATCAGGATTAGCAGCCAGACGTATAGATTTCATTTAAACATAATGTGAATTATTAGTACAAACTATACTTGTTGGTGATCCATGTCTAGTTCTTATTAATCAAGAACATGTGATTGATGATTTAGAAGCTTCGGAAGTAAGGGTATGCACCCTGATAAAAGGATGATAAATGTCACCATGTAACCACAAACATCTATAAAATATCAATAAAGGGAATTCCATTAGTGGTTTGTCTAATTTTTGGATCAAAACAGCATTCTAGTTCAAATGAGACTTTTTTTCCTTGACATTTTTGTCAATCAGTAAACAGTATTAATATTAGAGCTCAGTCATAAGTTTTTGACAGAAATGTTTCCATCTTTTCAACTCTTATTTATATAATTTTATTTTTATGTTCTGTATGATTGATTTTTTTATGCTTGTTCAGTAATTTTATGTTGAATTGTATGATTATTTCTTTTATGTTCTAAAATTCAGTAATTTTCAGATTTAAAATTAATGGGCCTGGGCGTGAAAGTATATATCCTTAGTTTTTGGAGTTATGAAGAGCTTTGGTACTCGTCGAAGAACAATTTTTTCAGTTTCTGTCGTGTGTAAAAACTATTTGTATTTGGTTTAGTGAATTGCATAGAAGATTATCAGGAAGAATTGTATTTTTTATACTGAATTAGAGAAAAATATCACGAGGACAAATAAAGAAAAATTAGTAATTTGAATATTTTTAAAATCGGACCCAAATTTAATAAAGAAATATTTTTATAATTAATATATAATGAATTTATTATTAATAATATTTTTAAAAAATAAATAAAAATAATGAAAATTATAAATATAAAATATATTATAAATTTATATTTTTATAAAAAATAAAAAATAAAAAATAAAAGTTAAATATATATATATATATATATATATATATATATATATATATATATAAGATGAATAATTATGAAAATAAAATATAATAAAATAATTATTATTTAAAATTGAAGTAATTAATATAAGATAAAAAGAAATTAAAATCATTATTTATTATATATTAGACTGTTATAATAAAAAATTGATTATAATAAAAAATAATGTATGATCATTATTATAGTAAAAACGCTGATTATATAAATAAATATTTAAAACAAAATAAAAGTAGTATTAATTTATAAGTAAAAACATATACAAATGTAAGAAGAGAATCATCATATGAATTTGACGAATACGTATGTGATTCGAGAAGTAGAACAGAGTAGTTGAGAGATTTAGGATCATTTTAACTTATTTTTATTTATATCTTAAAAGAATTTAAAATGTGTAATTAAAAAAAATAAAAAGAAGATGATGATTTTTAATTAATTTTATTTATTTCATTTATATTTAAGAAAAAAATATTGTTGGAGAGTGAAAAAAAGAGAAAATATAAAATAAATAATTGATTAACGATAAAAAAAGATATGAAAAAAAGATATAATAGTATCTGTAAAAGTATTATGGTCATCCTTCTTATCCAGAATATTATTTTTAACAATATTTTTAAATTAGCTTAAGAGTTTTTTTCAAGAAAAAGTTTTTAATATTTTCTTAATTATCTATTGGATTATTTATTTTCATCTTTATTTATAAATTAAGTTTTAATATATTTTTTAAATCCAGTAATTAAAAGTAACCTTGTTTCACAATATAATTTTTTTATAATAAATTTAAAATATAATTTAAATATTCAAAATATTAATTTATTATATTTGTAATATAATATAATTTATATATTGAAAACTATAATACTTGATATCCTCCAACATAAATTTATTTAAATATAGAAGTAGAATTGAGATTGGAACACTCTAATTCTTATATGAGATAGTGATTAGGAATTAAATCACGCTCCATTTATATTTTTTAGTACCGATTAAGACTGTATTATGATATATTTATAAATTTTATCGCTTAAAAAGTAGAAGTCAAAAATTATATATATATATATATATATCATACTCTTTTAATCCACCTATCTCACCTATACGTCTTTTATAAATAAAAATATAGCATACAAAAATTCAAAAATAGATAATATTTTCAAAAATAGATAATATCTTAAACATCAAAATTGATCTTAGTAATATTTTAAATGATATTAGGAAATAAATTTAATTATGAATTATGGAAGATGATTTAAGTTGAAATAATGATTGTTTTGCCATACAAGTAAAATTAAGAATGAGTCTTGTACAGTATATATCCATAATGGGGTGATCATTGATTTTAAAGTGATGGGTTTTGTGATCTTCAATTATGAAAGAAAGTTGGTGTTAGAGAATAACTCAAATACCGTTCTTAGTCACCAACCACTAACCATGGTGGTGGTGGTGGTGGTGGCGGAGCCTCTCACAACCAAAACGTACACTTCTGACCTTCATCCCACTCATCCACTAACATAACACACAATCACATAATAAGAAAATAATAATAATAATTTTATTCTTTTTATGAAGTCAAAATTAACTGGAATGAAAATATTAATCTATAACTATCTCTATATAAACCAGAGACAAAATTTAGAGCCCAAATATGTAATTTTTAATTTTGTATGATAAAAATACGAAGAAAGTAATCAAATAAATTTTTTTATAATCATTCACTAATCATAGTTAGTGTTTACTAATCTAAATTAGTTACACAAATATTCTGTAAGTCACTTGTTATATTAATGTTTTTTAAGAAAAAAACATTACAATTATTTATTTTCATAAGAATCACCCCAATTATTTATTTACATAAACAAATTAAATTTCAATTTTCAGATATAATATTTTATAAATAAATTTTAATTATGTATATTTTTCAATAATAATTTATTTATTTTTTAATTATATTTAAATAATAGGTTAAGGATAAGTCAAAATTAGTGGGCCTTCAACTTAAATCAATATTTTTTTTTACTATTTGATCCTTCCATCCCATTTTACATGACACTTGAAACTATAAAAAAATATAAACAATTTAATTATTACAGATGACTACATTAACATATTTATATAATTTATTAACATATTCTTTTAATAAATAAATAAACATAAATTAGATTAATTATGTTAAAATTTCAACATAAAATCAATTGATAATATGTAGAATAATTTAATATGCATTTAAATTATATTATATAACATAGGCAGAGATTGTGAGACTTTCAACATGTCATTTAACAAAACTTATCAAACAAAGCAAATTGTATCTTTTAATTTATAACAAAAGAACAATTTTTAGCTTATGTCCGAAAAGAAGTTAGACTTTGACTCGATAATATACTATGTTAAGGTTTTGTGGTGTCCGAATAAATTATCTCATCATGTGATCAATTTAACGGTTCGATCATGACACGATCTGTTGTCGTAGAATGTGATTTTGAAAACCTGGTTCAAAATTATGATCTATCATCATAAGTGTAGTATGACGAGAATCAAATTATTTAATAGATATAATAACATAATCATAGGTCTTGACTTAAGGATACTATATCCAATGCAGAACAACCTATTAAAAAGGAATTTAGGATTATGTTATAATCACGTTTTTTACTTGAATCATACTTAATCAAAGTCCTACAAATTTTTGGCAATAACATTTGATGTCATCTATGGGACAAAACCAAGAAAAATGAGAGAAATGTGAGAATATAATAAGCAAGGGGAATTTTTCACGGAAGAAGAAGACATCATATCAAACCTCTTATTTAATTGATGATGACTTAGAGCAATTGATCTAGAAAGGACTAAAAATCTTCATGGGTTTAGGCACAATAATTTAATAAACATTATATAAGCATCACCAATTTCCAAAAAAATAAGATTGAATTTATTTATTTATTTATTTATTATTATTATATTATGTCCATTTATCAATTTCTTATTAACTAGTTAAAAAAATTTATAAAATAAGTTAATTGAAAATATAATTTAATGTTTTAATTTAATAATTGAATGAAAAATATTAGTATATTTTTTATTAAGATTATCATGTTCTTCTTTTAATATTATCTTTCATTAAAACCAAGAAAAGAAAAAGTGTAATTTTGGAAACAATCTTAAAAAAAACTAGTTTATAGTTATTTTTTCAAGTATAAAATAACCTTGTTATTTTTCAATTAATAAAAAATATTTTTTTTATTATATATGATTATTACTATTAAATAAATGCAAAATTAACAAATAAAATATTTACATAAATATTTATTTGTAATAAAATTATTATATTTTGAATTCATTGGTATGTGAAGCATTAAAACTATATATGCGAATAATTATTAACTAATTTTGATCTACTTTGATATCGATTTGTGCTAAAGTTTTAATCGATACAATGACCCTGTGACATGATGACCTTATGAGATTAGATGACACGATGACCTTATAAAGTTGGATGACACAATGACTTTGTGAGGTCTTACGCCGCAAAGACCTTGTGAAGTTGAATGACACAATGAATTTGAAAGGTCGGAAAACAATAACTTTATAAGGTCAGGTGGCATGTGTTTTTTTTCCATCAAGGGAGGACGGTGATTAAGTCACTCCAAGTAGAGGTGTGTGACATAATTGACCTATGGGGTGTTGAATCCATGACTTTGTCATGTAGCTGAGTGGCATGACAAAATAGGAAAGACAGTTGACTTATTTTAACATTTGAAACTTGAAATAAATTAATTTAATGTGTGACTGATCAAATAATTAAGTCACGGCATGATCTTCTCTTTTAGGGGTACAAATTTGAAAATCTCGTCCAAAATTATGATATATCACAATAAATCTCGTATGGTGAGAATCAAGTAATTTAATGAACATAATAACAGAATCCACGGCCCTAATCCAATGATTCTAGATGTAAAATAGAACAACGTATTAAAAAAGGACATAAAATCATTTGAATCATAGTTAATCAAAACCTCAAATATTTTTTACAATAATAGGTTTTAATATAAAATCAATTATTATTACGTGAGATAACTTAATAAGTATTTAAACCGTACCAAATAATATAAAACGAGAAAATGTGAAACTTTTAATAAATTAAAATATAAAAAAATTAAATAAAAAAATATTATTTTTTAATTTTGTAGTATGATTTTCTTATAGTGTTGATTAAATTGAATGGATTTGTTATGAGGTATGGTGGTGGTGATCACCTCTTTGAAGATGAGTAGAGGAAGACAGTAGAGTGGATTATTAGTGAAAATCCACTATCCGTATTCCTATAGTGGTATCATATCTACTTTTATTGTTGGTGGGTATGCGTCTTCTTTTACTATTCATTAAGGATGTTTAAAGATGATGAAGTGTTTAGCCTCAATCCTGATGCAATTAATAAGTCGTTGGAAGTCGAAATCCAAAAGTCTCAGTGGAATTTATGATTTGCTAATAAAAACAATTTCATCTTCTCTCCTTAACATAACAATTAAAGTGTGTGTATTCTAAACGTTTTGTTTATTCTAATGTGCTTAGTAATGATGTGTTAACCAAAACAACACTACTTCTCAACTAAAAATCAAACATGAAGAACCTCCATTGCATTTTTAAGTAAAAGACAAAACAAAATTCCACCATTTCACCATGAACCATTTAAGTTCATCCACCACCACCCAATAATTTATTTTTTTACTTTTACAATCAAATTTGTTTTTCAAAACACTATTTCTAGGAAATAAATTACATCTATCTATTGTATTAAAAAACATTAAGAATCAATATTCTCATATTTTTATGGGGCTATTTATACGAAAATTAGTAAATTATCCACGTCTAAAAAGAATATGTTAAATCTGAGATCGATTAAATATATAATAAAATTATATAATATAAATAAAATGCAAAACCATGTATTATGATTTAATTAAATACTTTTATACTTTTAATAAATATAAAAATATCCCTTTAAAATCTTTATATATATATATATATATATATTATTTATCCATATAAAAATAAATTCATTTTCTTTTAATCGAATATAAAAACAAATTATTATTTAGAATCAAATTTGAGAAAAATAAATTAATAGTAAAATTTAATATTAACAATCAATATAATATATATAATTAAATTATGAGATTGATAGAAAAAAAAATCATAATTTCATATACAACTATTATTAGCATGACTTCTTACTAACCATCGGCTTAATGATGGTAACGTAGGTTGATTCGATTTGATATTAAAAAGTTATCAGAATCAAATATAAATTTTAAATAATTTATTTTTCATTTAAAAAAAATTAAATCAAATTAAATTAAGAGTTTAATTTGAACTGACTTTTTTATTATAAAATTATTAAATATATTATAATAAAATAATTATTAAATGAAAATTATATTATAAAAATTATCATGATTAATTAATTATAATATTTATAGTTTTAATTTAATTTAATATAGTTTTATATTCAATTTAAAAAATAATAATGCTATCTATTGTATTACTGAAACTAATAAATTTATTAGAATATATTTTATATTTTAAATGTAAAAATATATATTATAATTCCAATTCGATTTAATTTGGGTTGATTTTTTATTATAAAAAACGAATGAAATAGATTAATTTAAAAAATTTTTAATAAAAAAATTATTTAATCTATTTTAAAATTATTTTTATCAATTTCAGTTTTATTTTTAAATTAGTTTGATTTTCAACATTTCTATTTAAAATACTTGTCTGAGTAACTAGATTAATAACAGATTGAAAAGAGGAAAAATTTTTGTATTTGAAAAAATTATGTACAGTTTTTTATTTATTTCAAGTTTGGTATCGAATGACCCTTGATTATATGCAAAAGAAAGGAATAAAATATTAGAAATGAATAATTGTGAGCATAGTTAAGAAACAACATATATTTGTCCATAATGAAGATTCTACAAAATTGGGAATACACTTAATTTGCTTAAATTGAATGTTTATATCAGACGCGACATACAAACATAAATGACAGTAAATTAAAACAAATAGAAAGAGAAAATGTTGCTGTTTTCTGTTTTCTGAAATGATAACTGATGAACAGAAGAGAAAGTGTTCTTCTACCAACTTCAATTTATTGCTATAATTTACTTCTTTTATTTAGATTAGATTGAAAGCCAAACTAATTTATATTTTTGGTGAATAAAGCAAAACCAAATTTGGATGTGAATGAAGTAAAACTGAGATAGATGATAATGCCAGCTTCAACCATCCATCAACCTCACTGGGCCTCACTTTATTTCTTTCGCATTTCCTGAATTTTCTTTCATTTCAATGTTTCATCATTTTCTTTTAAATATATATTTCACTGTTGTATTATTGGATTCCTAGTAAGTCATTTGTCATGGACAACAGAATAAAATGTATTTTTTTTTACAAGATGTAGTCATTTCATCACAAACATATATATTTCCAAATTATAATAATTAAATGACTAAATCATCTCATTTGTTTCTATATTACTTAACAATTTTTAGTTAACTACTTATTGGATTTAGCTTTATTTTTATAAATAGCTGTAGTAATCAATTTGACAAAACTATTTTTACCACAAGTAGAAAAAAAAACTATTAAATTGACGATACATATATGAGTGCTATAATTTCATTTTCACAACAGATATCGGATTAATATAATACAATTGGAGAATTGTGTAGAGAGTAGAGTGTCATAAATCACATATAATGTCCCCAGAAAACAAAAATCCAAAACCATACTCTCCCTCCACACCCTTTTGTACAAATTTTCACCCAAACTTCCCAAAATGTTTCTTTCCCATTTCTCTTAACCATTGCCTATTTCAGCAAGTCACTAATTCTGTGTCCCCGTCGTGCATTTTATAAGCCACCACCTTCAACTCAGTTTCACTCACACTCTCCAAGCCACACCACCCTTTCCTCCTTTTCAGGTCTACCTAGTCTACTTCATTCTCTCCATATTTTCTCTCTCTCTCTCTCTAATCTCATCATTTCTTTCTTGGGTTGGAAGAAGGTTTTGTCTTTTATTTTTGGGCCGTGGAATGCATAAAAAAAGTTGCTGAGCTGTTAAGTTAATATAGGCAGTGTTGGAATGGGACCGGTGTTTTGATTCTGGGTTGTACTGCATGCATGCATGTTGGTATTTGGTTTTGTGATGTTATATATATGATCGTATTCATAACTAGCAACGCATGTCAGTGTGTGGAAAATTCATTGTATCTACCAGTGGGGCCATAGGTGTGCCTTATTTAAGGTGCACGAACATTGGAGGGTTCATTTCTGGGCTCGTTTATTGACACAGCTTAACTTTCTGGCGCTAAACAGACGAAAGAGTTGTTAATTCTATTTTTGTGGAATGGACTTGAAATATTTCATCTACCTTTTGCAACAAGAAGACAAGTTCCTTATCTAATAATGATTTACCTTTCTTGTTCATAATTTTCATTCTATATATGATCTCCGTTTCCTTCCTCGCTTTCCCTCCCTCTTTTCTTTTATTCTTTTTTGTATATCTTGTTTTTCTTTCTTTTTTGTTTGTCTGCATAACGGTTAATACAAGTTTTGAAATGAATATTCGTTCCTCTCTCTTAAAGGTTCTCCACAGTAGTTAATGATATATTGTTACTATCTTCTCGCCAGGATTTTAACGAATTTTCCTTTTGGGCAGTCAAAATTATTTGGCTTTATGTGAATTACTTAGATACCATATTGATTCCTTTACATAAGGCATCCCTGTTATCCTTGTTTTCTGTGCACAGGTTTATCGTTTTGTTTTTGGTTGGATTTTGGTGAATGGAGAAAGCAGGAATCATCCAATGGTTAAATCTTATAGTCTGTGTACTGCTACTGCTTGAGGCAGAGGGATCTTTGGTTCCATTGACTTTGGTCGAGAATGCAATATCACAAGGAGCTGGTGAGGATTTTTAGTTGTTTTAGTGAACTTTAATACTCCAGTGTTACTATTTTTAGCAATATTTATGTAAAAGTTGAGAATTGAAGACGAACACATGTGGTGCAGTTTGTTTGGATGGAAGTCCCCCAGCTTACCACTTTGATAAGGGAGTTGGAGAAGGGATTAACAGCTGGATTGTTCACATGGAGGTATGTGTATGAGTACAACACACAACTATTTCATCTGTTGAGTAAATCTTAAATGTCAAAATTTTCAACTGTTTTTCCCTTGCTTCGGACAAACATGCAAATCTCTTTTCATGATAACGATCTTCACCACCACATATTATTTAGGGAGGAGGATGGTGCAAAGATGTCAACGATTGCCTTGGGCGTAAGAAAAGTCGCTTAGGTTCATCTAATCAAATGGTTGAGGACATTTACTTTAGTGGAATTTTAAACAACGACCGACAGTATAATCCAGGTATTGTCCACTAATTTAGGTGTACTTCTTCTACTAGTTATGAACTGAACCTTTTTCTCAGCTTTGTCACGAATGATACAAATTTCAGATTTCTACAATTGGAATAGAGTCCTGGTTAGGTACTGTGATGGGTCATCCTTTACTGGTGATGTGGAGGAAGTTGATCCAGTAAGTTTTGTAGAATTCAAAGGAATTTGGAATTAAATTTCGAGGAAAATATCAAGGGTTGGTAAATTTTATTTTGTTTCTGATGAGATTAGTATTATTTGATCTAAATATCAGACAAACAATTTGTACTTTAGAGGAGCAAGGATTTTTTCAGCTGTAATGGAAGATTTACTAGCACAAGGATTGGAAAAGGCTGAAAATGTACGAGCCATTGATGATTTGGCGTTCTTTTTCTTCCTCCTGAATGGTTTTTTCTGTCATTAATCGAAACTTGTGCCTGCAGGCTATTCTAACTGGCTGTTCAGCTGGAGGATTGACTACTATATTACAGTGTGATAATTTTAAATCTCTGTTGCCTTCTGGAGCTAATGTAAAATGTGTTCCAGATGCCGGTTATTTTATCAATGCGTATGATCCTCTAATTGGCTTTCACTTGGCCTTTTTCCTTACTTTTTATAGTTCATTAGATCATTGAATGATTTAATATGTATTGTTGTACAACAGCAAGGATATCTCAGGAGCACATTTCATTGAAGAGTTCTACAGTAAAGTTGTTTCGACACACGTACATGTCTTTTCTCTTTTGATTATATTCCCCTTAGGAAAGAACTTACTTATATGTACTCTGTTTAACACCAAGACTGCCACTAAAGTTTTCCCACTTTTCATTTGAAAGTTCCTTTCTAATGGCAAAAGTTTTTTAAAGAGAGACTGGTTGGTTTTTCTTAATTATTTTAGGGATCAGCAAAGAATTTGCCCGCAGCCTGCATTTCCAAACTCACCCCAGGACTAGTAAGTTTGTCACTTGTAGTTTTTCCCTCTAGGTCTGCAACTTCTTTATTGTTAATAATGCTTCTGAATTGTTATGTAGTGCTTTTTCCCAGAAAATGTGGTATCACATATCAGTACTCCAATCTTCGTAGTAAATTCAGCCTATGACTCATGGCAGGTTAGATTACTCCTTTAGAATATATTGTCCTTACAAGAAACTGCTTAAGCTTGGTTCATATTCTTTGATATTTTGACCACTTATTGCTCTTGATAAGTGGTGATTTCCTGCTAGTCTTTTTTCTGATCCTCAAGGTATTACTTTGATTCAGATCCAGAACATCTTGGCACCTGGTGCTGCTGATCCCAGTGACAAATGGCATAGCTGCAAGCTTGATTTAAGAAGCTGCTCATCTGATCAACTACGTATACTGCAAGGTGAACAGTTTCCCTTCTTTATAACTTGTGTATAATAAAAAATGTTACACATAAAAGAATCTCACAATGCTCTAATTAGTCCTTGAAAGCAGTCTAAAATTTGACCTGCCTCTGTCACCACTTGATGTATGTGACTTGTCCACAGACAAAATTAAGAACATTGACATGAAAAAAACTAAAAACATGTAGAAGGGTAATTCTCGGTCACATTCTTTTGCCATTTGATTGAAAGTACAGTTTTGTGATTTCAGATTTCAAGGAAGAATTTGAAAAGGCAGTGAGTGTGGTTGGAGACTCTCCATCTAAAGGAATGTTTATAGACGCTTGCTTCACCCACTGTCAAACATTATCAACGGAGACATGGTTTAAAGCTGACTCACCACATCTTGCCAATACAGTAAGATGTTGCATTCGCTTCTCCCATTTCTAGAATATAAGCATTTTTGTGTGATATTAGCATTGTTGTTATCATTACTTGCTTTTATATCCAGTTGAAAAGCTAACTTGTATATGCATGACATTCTGCAGACAATTGGTAAGGCAGTAGGGGACTGGTTTTATGATCGGAGCCCTTTCAGCCATGTAGATTGCAATTATCCTTGCAACCCCACTTGTCAGAACAGTGTTTCTGATCTAAAAGACCACCCTGGAATATAGATTTGACATATTCATCAAATATAATGTTATTAGTTAAATGGTTGTTGCATGAGAATATAAGGTTCCAAGTTCCAAAGTTCGCAAAATAAGCAAAGGGCGCAATTACACTGGGGTTGGCCCTGTGTGCCCTCAATCATTGATGTTGTAATTGCTGGTCTTAATATAATGGTATATTCTATCCTTTTACTAATTCATGTATCTTCTTTCCTGGTGCTAAAGCACACTGTTTTGTTCAGAGCTTGATATAGCGTGATCAAAGGGAAGCCATGTGCATTAGCAAGCTTTTCAAACTATGAAAATAAAAATAGGACATTGCGCTTTCTGAAATTTAACTCTAGTTCCGGAATCTGGTCCTGATCCTTTGCAATCTAAAAATAAGTGCAGAATATGGTCCTGATCTAGATTCTTAACATTTAAATATTTGTATTCTTTTTTATCAATGTATTACAAAGTGTATATACCTTCTTGATTTGTTGAAATGTCAAAAATTGTTTAATAATAAATGTATATACTTGATATTGATACATGACAAACTCTTCTTTTTTGAAAACTTTACTAAAATGAAAAAAAAAAATTAAACTTAAATAATGAATTAATCAAGAAGAAACTCTAAGATTAATTTTTGTCAGGAACTCTTAGAATGTCTCTATTATTATATAAAAAAAAATGTGAATAATCGTTGGGAGTTGTTTAATCACTTCTTTCCAAAAAAATGTAATTAAATTCTTAGGTGAATACGATAGTAATAATGAGAAAAATTTAGCATAATTAAAATTTAAATCTTTATTTTATATATGCTTTTATATTATTTAATTCATACTTGCTTGATCAAATGTTATTATAGTTAATAAAAAAGAAAATGATTAATTTAAAAAAATTTGAAAAAGTTAGACATTGAAATCAATTGACACCCAAACTAAGAGAAAATAAGTGGAAGTATTCATATAACTTAAAACCATTAGATAGAACATTTTTTTACTCCAAAATCACACAGACTATAATATTTCAATGGAGTGAACTATAATCGAGCTTATTGCAATTTGATATATGTTTTTATATCCAAATATTACTTGTAAAGCAGTTCTAGAATATTCAAACAAATCCACATTTTAAGTAGTCTAAAAGTGGATTTTTTTTTATGGAAAACTCTTTTATGGAAAATTTTAAATATTAAGTTATATTTTTATTCATTCAATAACTAATTTAATTTTAAAAATATGAAAATGAAGATACATGTATTAGTGTTTTATAAATATAAAAAACTGAAGTCAAGAAATTGAATAATAAAATTATTTAAAAGTGTGAGACTCTTTTGAATGATTAGACGATGTTCACATGAAATAGTGTAATATCTTAATATAATGTAAATAATCTATAACTTTGTTTGTTGATATGGAGCTTTTGATATCAAATAATTATGATATTAATGGTAAATTCATTATTTAAGCTTGTATTTGTTTATTTTTAAACTTTAATTAACTCGTGAAAGGTAGGAGTAATTTCTTAGAAAACATATAAATGATTTTAATATCGAATTAGTATAAAATTATTTTATATTTGTTATATTAATCTTATTCTGCACTTTTTTTAAGATTCCTTATAAATGTTATGTAAAAAGATTTAGACTTCACATTTATTTTTTCAACACGTATAGTCCATACTTATTTATACAAACTTTTAAAAACCTTTTGCAAAAAAAAATTCATTATTTACCTATCAAGTTATTCAAACCGAACCCATAGTTTTAAATAAGTATCAAACTGAACCTCTTGAATTGTATTTCACATTAAAAAAAATTCTAAATTAAGTGATATATTTATATATTTTCAAACATATTTATTATAAAATAACAGTCAATGATTTAACATATATGATTTTTTTTAATATTTAATAATAATTTTAATTTATTATTAATAAAAGCAAATGTTACGTCATCACTTTATTCAAAGACTGTGTGATATATAATATGAGGCTGAGAATGAAGATCACATACCTCCTCATGATCAAATGAATAAAATGAGGAACAAAATAAAAGTTTTCTCCTAACTCCAAAGTCAAGAGTGCACTTTTATGTGCTTTATTAGAAGAATACCAATATGTCAGGGTCCACAACTATCACACTATGAGGCAAATGATGAACACTCTAACCCTCACTTATCCACACTTAATAAATAGAGAGGAAAAAACTAAACTTTTCATTAACTCTTCATTATAGAGGAAGATGAAGATATTCAAATTATATTCTGCGGATTTAAACTATATTAAATGAGCTTTAAATGTTCAAATAGTTTTTTTTTAATAAATATGATGACATTGACAAAATTTTACTAAGTGTATTAACAAAACTCCAACAATATCAAAATGAAACAAAATAGAAAAAAAAACAACCAAAAAACCAAGCAGAATAACTCCAAAAGAGTTAACAAAGAGAAATAACAAACAAACAAAAATTCTGATTTGTAACAAATTAAAAAAAACTAATAAATTTCAAATCAAAATATTCATACATAAAGAAATTCACGTCAAAAACAGATATCTCAAAGTCAGAGAAGAACATACGAGTGTACCCAGATAAAATCTTTTCATGAGTTTGATTTAGATTAGGAAAAAGAGGTAAATATTTCTGAGAGTATAAAATAACTTTTATCACAATATATATATATATATATATATTATATTTAATATTTCCACACCAACCTTCCAATATAAAATCAACCGTTCATAAAGACACTGGACTTTAAAGTTTGGAAGGCATCCCCATGAGCAACTCTTGGTCCCATAACGGAGCCTGACTTAAGAGCAAACCTTGCTGGGAATTCTAATTTTCTATGTCTTGGACCACTGCACCCATCACAAATAAAATTTTATGCAATTACCAACACACCCTGCAAGCAACACCAGCAATGGCCTACGAAATGAATTTGAATCTCAAAATCGTGGCAGAGGAAACTGTCTTCTCACCACAGTTTACGAAACAAAACAAACACTTTCTTAGGAAAAAAGCCTCATCCTTTTTCCGCAACAAGTGAGTTGCTTTGTCTCATTCATCCAGCTACTCCCATCACACCTAAAAATGTAGCCTCTACCCTTTCATTTTCTTTGTACCAATTTTCTCTTCAATCCTACACAGGCTCAGATACCAATGCAAGTTTAGTTTTACCTCTGTAGATCTGACCCATGTGGGAATCTCAAAAAAAGAAAGCATTTTGAATTCTGGGGTTTTGTTTTGGTATATTGGTCACTGGACAAGTGGAGAGATTGCTGTTGGGGTCATGGGTTCCAATGGTAGCAAAGCCACTTATTCGTCTTCTTCGGGGAGTTTAAGGAAGGCTCCATCTAAGGGCCTTAGAGTTTTTCAATCTTATTGTCTTGGAAATACCTCTGGTTCTCACGAGAGTGATGATGAAGACCAGGTAAACTCACTATTTTCTTTGATCTTTTCTTAGTTCTTTCAACGTTACTGCATTTGTTTTCATTTTCTGTTTGTTTTTCATCTCCCATTTCTACCTACTTTAAGCTCCTAACCGATATGTTTCGAGGCCATTTGGATTGTCAAATGGAGGTTTCTACTAGGATCATATAGCCATTCAGAAGCTGCTTAGTTTCTGGTTCTGTTCAGTGCTACATGAACTGGATTAAAATAGTCGTCTTTTCGAAACTTTCATGCATTTTATCTGTTTGTTTGCCCTTAATTAAGTATGCATGAAGTGGTGGTATACTGATGTTTATTTTGCAATGTTAAAGTCCTAGTGGTGTTGATGTTGTTGTTATTTGATTTGAAACAAGACCTTCAATTTCACTGTTGTTAATATAAAGTAGTTGATAACTGGTATTTTATGAGGCTATCGAATTACTGCTTTGTGTCTATTTCTTGATGATAAAGTCTATTATTGGAGAATCTTGTGTCCTTTTTATCCATTAATAGAAGAGAGAATAGGAATTAGGAGAACTTGTTCCCGTGAGCATCGCATCTGGTCTACAAATAATTTGCAAGAGTTAGCTTGATTTTTAAGATGAACACCTGTCTTCTTATAGCATTGACCCCTGTCTTGGAAGTAATACTTGGAATGGTTTTAACCGATTTCCAGAATAACCATCTTGGATTGAATGTTGATAGCAGCTTTGGTTCATTTAGACATAGTATTGTAGCGCTCATTAACTGCCAAACTACAATTTGTGATTCTTGCTGTAGGTTTGTGATCAGAGTAAAGTAAATGGCAGTGATGTTACATATGCTGGTGGCAATGTAACAAATTCAGATGAGGTGAAAACAGAGTCATTTAGAAAGGTTAAAGCTAGTGGAATAACTTGTATGCCTTCTAACATTGATCTTCATGAATGGAAAGAAACAAACGTCCCCAACACTTCATCCAGTACTGCTAGCAGCTCTAGTATTCATGATTCTTCAACACGTTCCTTGAACCCTACAAGTCATTTCCTTTCTCAGTTTAGCCTCATTCCTGGTAATGTAAGCTTTAGATTTAGCCGAACCACCAGTTTGGGGTCATCACGGCCTTGTCCTGTTTCTTCTGCAAGTCTTTCAATATTTGACAATGAAGACGAGCGTAATCTCCATTCCAGATCTCCTGAAAGTTTGATTAACAGAAATGAAGCACAACAATGTAATACCCTGCTTCCTGCGTCCTTTTCCAATCAAATACATGCACAATGTCATGAACATTCTTCTAATAATTTAAGGTCGAATGTTCCAACATCAGGTACACTTGGAAACTTACAGAGAAATCCCACAGATGGAGTTCACACTAGAGAAGGGCTAGATGTGAGCTTATTTTCTCCAAGAATTCAAACAGAGACAGAAATTGTTGACACTAGACATATCAATCCCCGAAATGGTGCCCGAGAATCAGTTGAACAGAATGTTCATTTTAGCCGAACATTTAGTGTTGGAAGGCTTCGAGACAGAGTTCTTCGTCGATCAACATTTTCTGACCTCACCTTTTGGCCTCTGCCACAGGGGAGAGAGCTGAGAGATGCTACCCTGCCTAGCCAGGATAGTGACAGGCAAGCAGTGGAGGGAGATTCAAGAGTGTCACCATCTAATCTTAGTACCATTGATTCTTCTACATCTAGTGTGTCTAGCTCCATGTTTAGTATCCGAGACTACGAGGTGGAGACTTCACGATTGAGAGAAGGTAGGTATCAGGATCTCCTGGAGCATAGGTCCAATTTCCTTGAACGGAGAAGAAGAATACGGTCCCAGGTTTGTGGATTTTGAACTTTGAGTAACCACTAGTGATTTGATAATATAGTGATATACTAAACATATCTTTGAATTTATGTTGTTATAATTAAATTATAAATCTTTGAACAAACAAAAAGAAACACTAAGACTTGAGGCTACTTATTCAAAAATATCCATACTTTAATATTTCCTTTACTCATTTACATGTAATGTTATGAAGGTTCGCACTCTTCAGCGGTTGGGTAATCGCTTTGAAAATCTTTCTGGACATGATAGATCGTGTATCTTGTCTGGTCAACATAGAAGTGGTCGTTGTACATGCCAAATCAATAATCGTGAAACTAATTCAAATGATGGTACCGGTGCTAGAGCTAGCATATCAAGGATTATTATGCTTGCTGAAGCCTTATTTGAGGTGATTTTACTGTGCTGTTTAATTACACTGATTTCTGATGATCACTAATAATACGTTATACAATTTGAATCCTTTTGTAAATATCTGAATTAGGTTCTGGATGAAATTCACCAACAATCTGTTGTTTTATCTTCCCGCCCATCTGAATCTTCTATTGGATCCGTTCCTGCACCGAAGTATGTCGTTGATTCCTTGCCTGTCAAGTCATATGAGAAGTTGCACAAGCATCAAGAGGATGGTGCACAGTAAGTCTTTGAGCTTACCACTATTAGGTGTTTAGTTTATTGAAATGCCTTAAAGGATTCTCCATTTTCTGCTTTTATTTCCCATTTTTTATTTTTTATTTTGCTTTAGAGATAGGTGAAAGACTCATGGATGAATTTATCTCTAAAATGCACCTTCTGAAGTGTGGAATTGTACCTTGTGCTGAAATGTGTGATATTTGCCCCCTAGTCAATGTAGATAGAATTGACTATATATCTAATATAAATGAAAATACTTCAACGCAACTGTTAATACTATGAATTTTCCCAAAATGGAAACGAAGGAAAAGCAAACTAATGTCTTAAGAAGGCCACTGGTTCTGATCACAGTATAGTTTTTTGCATGTCAGAATTTTACATGACAGGAAGAAAATACTACTTGGTATGATGATATTGTACCTGTCATTTTTATGTCTAGTAGTGTTTGCAAGCATTACATAGTACAGAGGTATTTACAGTTTCAAACTCTGTTTTTTTTTTTTCATTTTCACAGATGCTATATATGCCTTGTGGAGTATGAGGATGGAGACAACATGCGAGTACTGCCGTGCCATCACGAATTTCATAGAACATGTATAGATAAGTGGCTGAAGGAGATTCACAGGTATGAGAAAATTTGAAACTGAGTTTTCTTAATAAAACTATATTGGTATATTAATGAGGGTTGAAATACTTTTATGATATCCTGCACAGGGTATGTCCACTTTGTAGAGGGGACATATGCATATCCGATTCAACACCAGCAACAGAGAACTGGAGTGGCTAGTTGTTGATGAATATCTGTTTTGGAGCATCCAACAGTCACTTGCCTTTTTCTGCTGGCTGCAACAGTCACTGTTGTCAATCATCATTTACTCTTATCACTGAATAAACATCAAATTCATGGTAGAGACGAAATGGCATGACATGCTTAAGGGAGAGGTGAAAAATTAAAAGAAGCATAGATAAAAAGTGCTTCGTCTACGAATGTTACTCTGAACTTTTGAACAGTTTAATCATGAAAAAGTATATATTTACGAAGCTTGCCCTTAGTTAATAGAAATTATTATTATTATTATTAGTGTTTGTTACGTTGATGTCAATTATGGTAAACTTCAAATAAACTCATTTTCAAAGTCAACAAAAGCAGAATCTATATCGAACCTAATAATAATAATAATAATTTCTAGCCAGAATTTTATATACCCTAGACGACTTGCGTCAACTCAGAGGTACCAATGTTAGCACAAGTTTACATAGATTCACTTTCAAAGTCAACACAGAATAAATCGAAACCTAATAATAATCATAATAATTTGTAGCCCCGAAGACTTGCGTCAACTCATGTGTACCAATATTCATAGACATCGTTAACGATACGTTTGGAAATTTGAAATGCTGCAAAAAGAAGTTATGCGTTCCAAAATATCAAACTGAATTAAAAAAAGAAAAAGTTTTGCATGTTCCGATTGGTTGAAAAAAAAAAGATGTAAAATCAGTAGAAGAAAAATTTTTTACTTGAAAAAAATATGTAAGAAAAAGTATAAAATATGGATTTTTATTGAAGAAAAATAAAAAAGAAACAAAATAAAAGTATTTCTAAAAAATATTTAATTTTTAAACATTTTATTATATATTTATTCGCTATTAATATTTTTTATTATTTTTATTACCATTATTACTTTAATTATATATATAAAGAAATTCATTAATTAAAAAAATATTAAAAAATTACTTTTCATTCTTACCATTTAGTTTATTATAATGTAATGATTTATAATAATAATAACAATAATAATAATAATAATAATAATAATAATAATAATAATAATTAATCCCTTAGATCTACTTTACTTTTTTATCTTAAACATGTACTAATTATATACACTAAAAAGATCATTTTTTATCTTTAATATTTGATTCAAGAGTTGATGATGAAACATCACATTTTATTTCGTATATTTGATTTGAAATTTGTTAACTCCTTCTACATTTTAGAGTTTATGTGAGTTTATCATATATGTAAAATTATTTTAAAAAAAGTTTGATAATAATTTAATTCCTTTTTCCTATCTAAAATAGAAAACTTGCAAAAGTTTGAAAGTTAAATAGAGAGAATGAGAAATTGCTCAGTGCTTCAACAAGGTTGCAAAAGTCGGCAAAACTGGTATATATTTGGATTCTTCAAACATGATATCAAAGATTTGATTTCTGATAATTTGTATGGAAAAATATCTTGATAATATATATATATATATATATATATATATATATATATATATTCAATTGAGTGATTTCTGGTCATTGACTTTAATAGTTACGAGACATCCTTATTATGAAAAAAATCCAACTCTAACTCATAGCTTGTCAATATATATAGACTCACTTTCCATAGCAGAATTATAACAACTCAATTTTGTACCAAACAATTTCTAGTTGCTTGTGTTGTGATTCCCCAAGACTCCAAATAAATGAAAATGATAAATTCTTCATTCTGGTTAACATCATGCCTTCATGTGGTTTCTCTTTTCTGCCACTCCACTATATTTGCATCCTACGAGCACTGCCAGTGCCTTAGGAAATGACGCAGACCAATTGTCATTGGTCAGATTCAAAGAAGCAGTAGAAAACGACCCTTTTGATATCTTGGCTTCTTGGAATAGTTCAACTTACTTTTGCAAGTGGCATGGAGTCACATGCAGCCTCAGGCATCAAAGGGTCACTGCCCTGAACCTACAAGGGAATGCCTTGAGAGGGTTGATACCACCTGAGATAGGTAACCTCACTTTTCTGAGGTATGTCAACCTTCAAAACAACAGCTTCTATGGCAAAATCCCACATGAAGTAGGAGGTTTGTTCAGGCTGCAGCAGCTGTATCTTACCGATAACACATTAAGGGGTCAAATTCCCACCAACTTGTCTAGTTGTTCTGAACTCAAAAGGTTGAGTTTATCAGGAAACAAACTTGTTGGCAAAATTCCCATGGAGCTTAGCTTTCTAACTAAGCTATAACTTTTATCTATTGGTATGAACAATTTGACAGGTGGAATACCTTCGTTCATATGGAAATTTTCATCTCTTCGTGGTCTCGCTTTGGGGCGCAATAATTTGGAGGGAAATGTACCAGAAGAACTAGGCCATCTCAAAAACTTGACCTTTATCTCTATTGCAGACAACAAACTATCTGGTATGCTTCCTTCTACACTCTTTAATCTGTCATCTCTATCTTTCTTCTCAGCTGGAGCCAACCAATTTAATGGCTCTCTACCTTCCAACATGTTCTTCACACTTCCTAATCTCCAACAATTTGGCATTGGTATGAACAAAATCTCGGGTCCTATCCCGGCTTCCATCTCCAATGCAACCCGTTTGCTGTTGTTTAACATCCCAAGGAATAACTTTGTTGGACAAGTTCCAATTGGCATAGGGAATCTCCAAGATGTCTGGTCCATTGCAATGGAACGCAATTAACTTGGGAGTAATTCATCTAGTGACTTGGATTTCTTGGCATCTTTGACAGACTGCACTAAGTTGCGAGTGTTGGATTTAAATCTAAACAACTTTGGTGGTTCTTTACCCGACTCTGTAGCCAACATTTCAAGTCAACTAAGCCAGTTTTATGTTGGTGGGAATCAGATTACTGGGACTATTCCTGCAGGATTAGGAAATCTCATCAACTTGATAGGCTTTGACGTGGAGCTCAACCTTCTCACGGGGTCAATTCCAGCTTCTTTTGGGATGTTCCAAAAGATGCAGTCATTGACTTTAAACACGAACAAACTTTCAGGGGAAATTCCATCATCCATTGGCAACCTTAGTATGTTGTTTCAACTTGACTTGTCAGATAACATTCTGGAAGGAACCATTCCTCCTAGTCTTGGAAATTGCCAAATTTTACAGTTTCTTGATCTTTCACATAACAGACTTACTGGAACTATTCCTTTTCAGGTCATTGGCCTTCCCTCCTTGTCATTGTTATTGAACTTGTCCCACAACTCATTAAATGGCAGCCTACCCGTTGAAGTGGGCAACATGAAAAGCATCAACAAGTTGGATGTTTCAAAAAATTCACTCTCTGGTGAAAATCCTTCAACTATTGCACAGTGCATAAGCTTGGAATTCCTTAATTTACATGGGAATTTCTTCCGGGGAGCCATACCTTCTTCCTTGGCTTCATTGAAAGGCCTTCAGTATTTAGATTTGCCACAAAATAACTTGTCTGGATCAATTCCAGAAGGTTTAGAGCGTATTCGTGATCTGCAGTACTTGAATATTTCCTTTAACAGGTTGACTGGTGAAGTACCAACAGAAGGTGTCTTTAGAAATGCAATTGTCATGTCAATAAAAGGAAACAGTGACCTTTGTGGCGGTATCTCAGGGCTACACCTACCACCATGCCAAGTCAAAGTTATGACACAGAAAAAAACAGGTTTGGAAGAAAATAGTAATAACAATTTCTGTGGTTGTCTTTCTCTTACTGTTATCATCTTTAGTTGCTTTCTATTGGAAAAACACAAATAGGAGAACATCTAGTTCACAAACAACATTGGACCCTCTTGCCAAGGTCTCATACACGACACTCCACCAAGCAACAAATGGATTCTCTTCCGATAACTTAATAGGATCTGAAGGTTTTGGCTCTGTTTATAAAGGAACTATTGAGGCGGAAGAGAGAGATGTCGCTATAAAGGTCCTGAATCTTAAAAAGAAAAATATTCGCCACAGAAACCTGGTCAAGATTATAACGTGCTGCTCGAGCATGGATTATAGTGGATATGAATTCAAAGCTCTAGTCTTTGACTACATGGAAAATGGAAGTTTAGACAAATGGTTGCATTCTGCGTCAGAAATTGGAGATCGACCAACTTTGGACTTTTCTCAAAGGCTAAATATTCTTATAGAAATTGGTTGTGCTTTACATTATCTTCATTATGAATGTGCACAACAAATAGTTCACTGTGATTTAAAGCCAAACAATGTTCTTCTTGACAATGATATGGTTGCTCATGTAAGTAATTTTGGACTGGCAAGACTTACCTATACCATCAATGGTGTCTCTCATCTTCAATTTAGCACAATCGGAATCAAGGGAACGGTTGGATACGCTCCTCCAGGTACAGTTGATACTATTGATATTTTAAATGCTGTAAATTTTAGGCTTAAATATTGATTGAAATTGCACAATGAAACTAACTAGCAGAACCAAATTCATGAAATGACGACGATAAAAAGATTAAAAGTGTAACTCATCTTAAGTCGTGTTAGTGAAATACTACTAAATGCTATTATAATTGATTGAAAATAAAAAGTGTACGAGTAAGTCATTAAATAAGGGGAGATATTTTCTAAGTAAACTTCTTGAGGGTGTCTCACTAGTTTCTCTTTCACTCCCTGAAAGCAATTATTTTAATTTCCTTTTTATGAATCCTAACTTTGGTTGTAATAAATTTCAGAATATGGAATGGGAGGTGAAGTATCAACACAGGGTGAGGTGTATAGCTTTGGAATCCTTGTACTGGAGATGCTAACAGGAAGGAAACCCACAGACGAAATGTTTATAAATGGAATCAATCTCCATAATTTTGTCAAAGTTTCGTTGCCAGATAAGCTCCTACATTTAGTGGACTCGGCCATTCTCCGAAGAGAATTGAAACAAACAGTTGTATCAGCAGAAATGGAAAACTACAGTGATCAGAACATGAGGCAAATGCTTCCTAATGATATGAACAAATGCTTACTTGAACTGTTTACCATAGGACTGGCTTGTTCAGCAGAGTCACCAAAAGAAAGAATGAAAATGAGGGATGTCATCAGGGAACTGCATCTAATCAGAAATGCTCTTCTTGGAAATTGATCCAAACTCTCTACCACACGAGTGCTAGTAGCTACCAAGATTATCCTTTTTTTTAGTTATTATTATTATTTGTGGGTGTGTATTTTCTGCTAATCTGTTCTATCTCTCTTAAGAATATTGCTCAAATACTCTAAAATCTAATCTCACATGTTCAAATAATGTAAGAATATTATCATTATGTACTAAATTTCAGTCAGAGAAAAGAGAATATATATATATATATATATATATATATATATATATATATATATATATATAACAAGCAGTATCACCTTGTATGAAGGCTAGGTAAAACTCCATTTAGTCAGAAAAATGTAACAGTTTAGTTTGCCTAATCTGCGCATTTAACAGAAAATGAATGCAGATTATTGACCATTTAAGGATCAATGGTAGCAAGGAGCCAATATATAATCTGCGCATTCTTTTATTTTCCGTGCTTCTAATGCAGATTGGGAAATAGGAGTAGTTGTGGTTCCATCACTATGGCCCCACAATTCTTTTCCTCTCAAAAACATTCTGAATTGAAATTCCCTCGCTGTGTATCATCCACAAGCCCTGATACCACGTCAGAGCATACAACGGCAAAACAGTTTCTTTCAAATAATTTCTGGTTGCTCGCCTTCGTTCATTGTATTCTCTTCGATAATAATACATTCTCAAATATTACAGTTCTTAATAACAATTTAATACAACTTTTAGTTTATAAAAGATAAAAACAGAAATTTAATAATATGCAATTATTAGGCAAATTGAAGCCTACAATTGATTCATGTGATTATGAAATATTTAATCTCCAATTACATAAAATCTAATGATAGTTGAAACATGGAAATGATTTGAAAGAAATTTAACAAAGACGCTCTCAATCGCACTACTGTTACCAAAAAATCATGAAAACTATCAATATCATGCATGCATGAAACTCAATACATAGACAGTAATTTCGTCAAGTCCTCTAAATTTGATCAACAACAGTGTGTTGAAAAGGTGTGCCAACATCCCTCGTCATTTAAATACTCAATTGTAAGCCTAGCCATAAAGTAACACGGATATACAACTGGAATTGTTGTGCACAAGATATAAAATTCCTAGGCAACAATAAGTACCCAAAATTTATAAGGCAAACCAGTCAGTTTGCTTCTTTTCATACCACTCATATGGTAATAACAGTACTTAACCATTTACAAAAGCCAACTACTCAAAGCCACTGTGAGGAATATTGAGGAGACATTTTTGACATGTTTTTACCAATGCACCACAATCGACCACGGCTTGGCGTGGCAGTTACAATGCTGGCACTGGCCTCAGTAGATGGGAGTTCTGTGTCAGAAGTACTGGCACAACTAGAACCACATTGTTGTCCATCTGCCTCATTCATCCTGTCTATTAAAGAGTGTCTGATACGTGAACCAACCACCCAAGCTTCAGAGAGATTTGTCCCAGGAGAGTGACTTGTCGAGATAGGTGAATTGGGATTGCTTAAAGCATCCTCCTGCAATATATCTCCTATTCTAGACAGTATGCTAAAGGCTAAACTTCCAAGAACTCTAGAGTATGCTTCCAAAATGGAATGGCCAATATCCTACAAAAGTTGGTAGAAAGAAATTAATACTACCTCTCAATTTCACACAAGTCAATTTCACATGAAGTTTTCATTTGTAAGGGAAACAGAAAATATGAACAGTTTTGTGCATGAAATGGATAAGACAAACACATAAAAAACTTTTCCCGCTCAGAATGACTATGAAATATATATAAATAACTATGAAACTTACCTTGCCATATTGAACTTTTGCAGCATCCAGAAATGTTTGAGGATGGTTTGGATGTCTGGTTTTAAGCAGATTTAGAAGTGCTTCTGCACGTTCCAACAATAGTTCCATCTTATCTATACCTGACACCGGCTCCTTCAAGAAGGACCATGAGGTTCGAACCGGGGATTTCCCACTGTTTTCTTGTATGATTCGTTCTTTCCATGAAAATGTAGCAGCTTCCAATTTATTAATGGTCTCTAGGACAGCATGTTCAGATTTCAAATTGAGAGCTTTAAGCATTTCTTCTCCAGAACCCGATTCAGCCATCAAAACCTTGTGCAGTTCCTCTCCAAGACTTGCCTTTCCAGACTAAAACACAGAAACAGATTTAGAAACAAGGCAATGAAGATTACAATTGAAGAACAAAAATCCACGGAGCATTCTGACTGCTATATGTCCTGATAAAAAGGTCAAAGGAAAAACCCTTCATGATTTGAGATATCTCAAAAAGTAGTTTTTATTGTGCATATTAAAGGCCAATAATATTCCTTAAACTACATCATAATCTATTTTTATTCAAGATCATACTTCACATCATACAAATCCCGTTCAATCTTGAACATGTATAGATGTTGAAAGTGTGCCTAAAGGTTATAAGAGCTGCAACATGAAATGTCTTCTAGAGTTTAAAAGTTTATTTTCTGCTTTTCACGTTCTAGACTAAAGGAGTACTTGATTCTGTTATATTTAAATTGAAATGATGCTTTTTTGCCTAAAAAGGTTGTATACGATAAACTGTGTGCTCTCTATATGGAGCCTTTTTAATAAAAATATCATCAGCTTCCCTACCCCTGCTCTCATAAAACAAAATTTCATCGCCAACATCAGAACTCATTTGTATTCATCATCAAACTACTCCTTAAATTCCAATCTACTTTCAACACATATTATCCCATTTGTTGTTATCTTGTTGCTTCCTAACCATCACTGATGGAGAGCAGTTTGCTTGAGGCTAGAAGCATAAATATTCAAACATTCAAAGCTGATTACCTTCAGAAGTGCATCCTTAATTATTGTTGGCACGGGTATCTCAAGCAACATATTATCATTGATAGCTTTGGCAGCCTTGAATATTTGATGCACCATCCTTCCCTTATCAAGCAGCCTTTTTCTTTCAACTTCAGAAAGTCCAGTTCTTGGTACTCGGGGTGATGGAAGCCACCATCTTTTGCTTTGTCTTCCCGTTGTGTTTCTCCCTTCTGACCGGCTTCCTTCCTCTGCATACCAGAACTCAGTATTTACCATCGAGTCTAGTGTCTCCTGTCAACCAGAACACCAAAAAAATGTTACAGGCTAATAAAACACGTTTCTGTGGTCTCAAATGAGAATGAAAAGATGACCTACAATAAGCATAGAGTCCAGCTTCTGAAGTGCTGGAAGATTCATTTGGATGTCGGTACGGGCTTTTGGGGTCATTATCTGTTCAAAGATAATTGCTACCTTACAATGATGTGATACGTATGAAAATATTCGACACTTTTCAATCCAGTTCAAATAAAAAATACCTCAAAGATCCCACCATTGGCGCCATTTTGCTTAGCAGGTACTAACTCAACCATATAGTTAGTTGGAAACAACAACCATCCCATTTCTCTTTGCCATTTGCTCTTCCTCTCTTCAGATAGTGGTTCCAATTTCCACAACTCACCAAAAACCGTCACTGCATGTTTTCATCTTACTTTTAGATTGTCTTAAAAAAGTAACCAGAAGGGGAAATTATCAAGGTCACATGTTTTCTGGAAAGTAGAATTAAAGCTACGCTAACACAGTCCACTTTTTTTTCAGGATAAATTTTATAAACTATATGTACTTATAATCTATGAAACCAAAAAGATAGTGTAAAAAAAATGCACTTAAAGCCAACCTGCAAGGCTTGTGATGGCAGTAGACAGTGCTAAAGCTGTATTGAGGCCTTTCGATCCTCCTGTAATATCACCACCTAGCAACAGCTTTGCAAACTTCTCTTTCATGGCTTCTACGTCTGAACTTTGGACGTCAAAAGCAGACTTCTCTTTAACAAAAAAATTTGGAGGACTTTCTGAGAGTTCCCACTCTTCGAATCCTTGTTCATCTCTTTTCGTTGTCAAACATTTTGAAGAGAACGATCCAAAAGCATCTTTGCTGGATGAACAACAGCTGGAGTCATCATCATTAAATGAATCAGTTATACATCCATCTCCTCTACTTGTTCTGCTTTCATCTCCGCAAGAACGAATATCCGAAGTGTATGTCACAATACCTGAAACATAAATTCATATTATTTCCATAACTAAACTTACATGGAAACATTTTGCAAGCTTAATTAACACATAAAAAGGTGACTCAAATGCTTAGGATCTTCAGAAGTGTAGTGTTCTTCTATCATTCTCCTTTGGCATAAATAGTAGTAACTGAAATTCCACAATTATTTGTTCACAAATATTCTGATGAATTTTATGACGTTTTCCACTACAAGGTCAAACATCTCTCTTCTGGTCATCCCAACAAATTAACGGACCTTTTGAAACATTGACCATAAACGTCATCCTCACAAGTGTTAAAAACTGGTTTTATTTTTCAAAGACATTCAAATTTAAACTATATCTGTTTGTCTGACAAACCGATTGCTAGGTGTGCCAGATAAGGCACCAATTGCACCTCTCAGGTTCACACCAGGGAGAAGGGTATAACCATCGGTCAAATTTGTCCACGTCTATAGATGTCGCACATGTACCCACATGCAAGACCCATCATTTACCCAGTAAACCATCTTTCATTTTAATAATAAAATTGTAACTTTTTTTGGCTTAAACGTGTTGGATCTAACTATTTTTTGTTTTGAGTATTTAATAATTTTTAAAAATTAAATATTTAATAAACAATAAGTCCTTTTGATTATGGACATCAATTCTACCGTTCAAAAGTTTGTGAAGTTAAATAATGTGTTAGAAGATGTGAAATATCCAGAAATGACATACATATCACCTGTGTTATTTGGGTTGACATTAGATGATAAGAAATATATGGGTTATTATGAAAAAATGAAAAATTTTAGTCATCAAAGTTAAAAAAAGAATCTAGTTTATGTTGTGGGATTTCTTTAGAAAATTGAGTAGGATGGATGACCTAAACTAATCATGAATGAATAGCATGCTGCCAGACAAAATATTCCGAATGGAAAACAGAAGCTCTCGGTGATATGACAGAATGGGACACCAGAACTGCTTCCAATTCGGATGGGAACAAATAAAGATAATAATAACAACGAGGACAAGAGATAAGTGAAACCCCAAGAGATGGGTCCCATCAAAATAGAAAGAAACCAGTTCAAACTTGTGTTTTTCATTTTCATCTTGTTTTTTTCTCAGTTAGGTTGACCAAGCGGTTTCAATTGAGAAAACAATTCTAAATTAAATTTTGGAAGGATTATATTTATCTATTGTTTTCAAAATTTAAATATTAACTACTTTCTTTAAGTTTAAATTTTAATTAGTTTATACATGTGCATTTATTGTGTTATAAATATAAAAATTTCATAAATGTTTTATTATCGATTTCTACGTTAACATCTTAATTGATGTAAGAAGAAAAACGGATGCAGTTCAGAAAAAACGCCCATTTCAAATTCAAATCCCTCTGCCTTTTTTTGTTCGTTTGAATAAAAGCATAAACAAATATCAGTTCATCAGTTAAAACTTGAAAAAGAAAAAATGTTGATGGAAACACTTCACATATTTATTTTTTCATCCTCAATGGTGCTATGGTGGTCCTTTTTAGAGTAAAAATTACTACCAAAGACCACCAAACCAAACCTCACTTGATTTGATTATGGGGTTGAAAGTACGATATAATATATCAACCGAGTTTGAGTCTACAGAAGAATGAAGCCTTTTAAAATATCCAAAATTTCAACGTAGAGAAAAAAAACTTGAACCAAAAAAACAAGTAAAGTTTTTCTCAGAGTGAAAAAGAAACAGAAGATTACAGGTACAAGGAAGAGTAAGGAAAGAACTTACTACTCTCTGGTTCATCAAAATCAATGCTGATTTTGGTTTCCTTTGAGCAGCAACCTAGTCTTTTTCTCATTATCAGCGACATCCTTGTCTCTGTGATGCTTTCAATCCACGACTCACTAAAAAGGTCACTGTTGCTTCAGTAACTATCAGTGTCCACCATCACCAACCTCACAAAAGCATTTTCTTCTGCATAAAACAAAGTACACTCCAAAATAAAGCAAAGGGTACAAACTGTATTATAGTGTACCCAGCTATTCAGCATACGTTATTTACATCTTATTTTGTTTATTACTAGTAGTATACGTTACAAAAAAAGACAAAAAACAAAGAGAAATTTTAAAAATATATATAAAATAAAAAAAAGTTTACTGTTTGACAAAAAGGTTAAGTTAAGATAACTTTTTGAAGCAATGGTCAAAAAGTGTGAGAAAGCAAAGCAAGGGTCTGATGCAGCATGTGCAAGGCAGATTCGACCTTTTCAGTTTCGGGTTACGATTACTTTTGCCTGAACTGTTTTTTTTTTTTATTTCCTCCGAAGATCAAAAACAACGTTGGAGTTAAACAAAAACAATCAGGTTCCTAGCTGAAATCAAAGTTGCAGAATGAAGCTAAAGGGTGAAAAAGAAAACAGAGAGTGGAAGGAGGAAAAACCTGAGGTAGTTGAAATGGTGGGTGGATCTTGGAAATGCAGAGTGGGCATTGTTGTTTGAAAGATTGAGTTGATTGACAATTTAAAGAAGTTAAGGTTTGTTTGTCAGCGGAAAAGGAGCGAAAAGAAGATTGAATAGAAGAAGGAGTAATGGCGTTTGGGTGTGCATTTACTAGGAGAAGAGAAGAATTAGCGAGCATGAAACAGAAGAGAATGAAGTAGTGACAGAAAATAAGAGAAAGAGTGCATCGGGTAACGTAGAGAAGAGCGTCTTGTCTGAATCTGAACCGTCAGATCCCCAGGTCCATCAGCCTATGACGCTCTGATTTGCACGAACGGTCAGGATAATGGGGTGCAGGATTTTATGGTGGGGTCGTAGGGCCCAATGATAACGCCGTATTAGGATCTCGAAGACGAAATCACTTTGTCGTGAGATTTCAAAATGAAAGGAGGTAAGAGTGTGCCACGTGGAGGTATTTATTTGCAGCTCATTTAATTCTCAATTCATTATTTCAATCTGTTTTTCCGAATTTGAATTTTAAAAAATACACAAATAAATGCTTTTATCTGTCGCTCATGTCATTAATTGAATTTCCCTAGTGCCAATTTAAGATTTACATTAATGGTTCTTCATTTAAATTTAAAAATAAAAAAACTAACGTTTTTTTTTCACTCTGGGGTTAACGTGGTTTTATTTATTTAAGTGTTGAGATAAAATTGATGTATTAAAGCTAAAGATTGCGCATATTGATGGATTGAAGGTTTTAAAAAAAATGAGGTAAATTTTAAAAAATTTATGAAATTGGACAAGTAATACTGTATAACACGAGTTTGTAATAAATAAATAAAAATCGTATCACCTAATATAATATAAATTTTTTTCATAAACAAATAATGTATTTTGGATATTTTTTATTATTTTCAAAATCATGATACGTGAAACTTTTTTTTCTTTTTATCCAATTGTGTTAGATTATATAATTTTTTTTTTGTGTGTTTTCAAATTCTATTATTATTATTATTATTATTGAAGTTGTGTAATATAAGTATAAGTATAATTTTAGTTTTTTATCTTTTATATTTTAATTTAATTATAAAATAATATTATATATAATTTTTTATTAACTATATTTTAAGATGATAAATATTACGATTTGTACGAACTATTATTAAAATTATAATTTTTAATATAATATAATGAATATTTTATTTTATTTAAATTTAATCAATCCATTTTATTGTATGTTGTGATAAAACTTTTTTATTGTTTAATAACTGGGTCTAGAATAAAATTTGAACGGTGAATAATTTTTATTTTGTAAAGATAAATTGATATCATAAGCTTTTAAAATCCTTATATATTGGATTATTTTGTGTGTCGTTTTATAAATGATACGAAGTATGCTTAACAATAATATATGAAAGCAAAAAATAATTTTTTTTTAACTTTTCACCAGTACATCACTAGTCATTTAATCTAACGATATATTTTTGGACTCATATTATAAATTTCATAATTTTTAGACATTAAATTTACCATTTTTTTATTATATATTATATCTTTAAGCATAACATATTTTGATTCATTGTCACGTTTAATAAAGTTTCGTATTATACACTTTTCTAGATTGATAATATCTGCTCATAATCAAATTCATAAAGATCCCCTAATAAAAAGATCATATTATAAAATAAGTTCCTAACACTAAATTATTTTCAATTTAGTTTTCAAAATATTTCTTCTTACATTATTTTGTAATATATAATTCATTTATATTAATTTTAATTATTATTTTTTTAACTATTATTATAATTTAAATTTGTTTACTTGTAAATTTATAATCTTAAAAATATAATAGAAAAAATATTACATATAATGTTATTTTATAGTTAAATTCAAACATAAAAAGTAAAAAAAAAAAACTGAAGCCCAAAATAAAAAATATAAATATAAAGAACTTGTATAATCTAATTTTAGGAAATAAAAAAATTAAGCATCTCCAATTATAATAATTCATAAGTGACTTTCTAACCTTAAAAACATTAATTATAGATTTATAAAGTCATAAGGAACTCATAATTTATTGTTGATTGATTTTATTAGTTAAAAATATTTAAAAACTTATTCTAGTTCGTATTTCTCTCCTCATTTGTTTTAATTTTCTTATTTTTATAAAGCTTTGGAGTGAGATATGCCGCTGAGAGTGAGAGTGAAGGCTAACCGTCAAAGTTAATAATTTAGAATTTTATTTTATTTAATAGATAAAGTTATAAACAAATTTAAATTTTGATTCAAAAATAATTATTTAATCAATATAATAATTATTTAATTTTACTTAAATTAGTCAATATATAATAATTCCAGAAAGATTTAATAATTGAACATGGGATTCATGAAAATACCCTTCCCACAAAATATAATAGAGAAAGTGAAGAAGTTGGTAAAAGGGTTGGTGGGTGAGTAAGAGAAATTTTTGGCCATAGACCACAACTTAAAAACGTCATCGAATGTGGAAAAATCGTGGTCCACGGTGACCATGGTCTTAAACTTTACTTTGTATTAATTTTTTTAACATCAATAGTCTTCGCTTTTATTTCCATTTTTTAAGTCAAATTTATTTTAACCTACTAAGAGATTGTTTAGCTTGTTAAATGCTTTTTGTCTCGGCCTCTATTTATGTAAGTTGGACATTAAACTCGATATTGATGTCCTACTTTTTTATTAATATCATTCATTTGAAATTATGTTATGTTTTCATTCCTGTATATTCCTGTATTTTAATATGTTAATATTTCTTTATATTAATTTTTAAAAAATATACCTTTAATTATATAAAATATTTTTTTATTTTTTATTTATTTATTAATATTTTTATTAGATAAATTGAACCATTATTATATAATTAAAATAGTTTATTTTAATTAATAATTTAAGTTTAATTAAATAATATTTATAATTTAAATTATGATATTATAATATATGTATATATTATAATAACATAATATAAAAATTTAATATTTTTTAATTATAAATTTTTTATTTTAATATAATTAAAAAAAAAACAGATCAATCATTCCCATCAAGTTAATGAATTAAATATAATCATAAAAAACAAACTAATAAATTAAAACTATTAATATCTCTTATTAAATAAGTCACGTATTATTTTTTTTTCATTTTATCATTTCTAATTTTTGTTATTAAAAAATATTAGCTACAACTTTTTTTAGTTTTACCACAAATTAATTTTTGGAAATATATTCAGCATCTTAAAAAAGACTTGTTTAAAAATATAAAAAAAATTAAATTTTTTTAATAAATTTTAAAATAATTTATTTATGAAATTCATAATAAAATATTTATTTTAATATTTAAATAACTTAATATATTCTTAGAAAAAAAAATTAACGCAAGTATGTGTTAGAAGATAGTTTTGATTCGAATGTAGGTAAATGTTTGTGGAAAGTAATGTTTTGTAAAAATATTTCATAGTTAATTTGTAATTAATTTCATAACTTATTTAAATCAACTCATTCCCTTCACCACTTGCCTAGAGAAAATTAACTCTGTATTCTGAAGAGGAACAAAGGACACTCAACTAACTTAAGACAAGTATTACAAAAATATATATATTTTTGTCTCAAATTAATAAAAAAAAATTAAGGTTTGAATTAAAATATAAAATTGTCTATATTGTATTGAATAAATTAAATTAGGCAAACTTTATTTAATTATATTATAATAGATTACTTAATTTAAATTAATATTATATAAATTATTATTAAATTGAAAATATGGTCAGCGACATAGAGTTAGGCGATGCTTATTCCTCGAATACCGTCATTGCTTCTTCTCCGGGAAAAGAAGTTCATGACCCGTAGGCCTTCTACCTTTACGCGGCATTGCTCCGTCAAGCTTTCGCCCGGAAAATTCCCCACTGCTACCTCTCATAGGAGTCTGGGCCGTGTCTTAGTCCCAGTGTGACTGATCATCCTCTCGGACCAGCTACTGATCATCGCCTTGGTAAACTATTGTCTCACCAACTAGCTAATCAGACGTGAGCCCCTCATCGGGCGGAATCCTCCTTTTGCTCCTCAGCCTACGGGGTATTAGCAGCCGTTTCCAGCTGATTTTTCTTTCTCAAACAAACTCCTCTCTCTCCTCTCCTCTCCTCTTATTCATTATCTCATTCTTGCTCATCTTTCTTCATAAGGTAAAAATCATATATGAAGATGAGGAAGAAAATGACAAAGATGGAAAACTAGAGAGATATTCAAATACTGCATCTAATGATCCTAGACATTGATTGTTTTGAATTGAAGATGTGAGAATTACTCAATAGAAGAATAATGTGAAGTTTTATCAAATAAATAAATATAATGTAATTTTTATTTAAATGTTTAAACATTTCAATATAAAAAATAAAGATTTAATAAACTTTTACTATTATATACATGTATTTATTATTATATAAATTTTATCTTAATTTAATTGTTCTAAAATATAATTTATTAAAATAATATATTAATTTATATTATTAACTTGAAATATATATATATATATATATATATATATTAAATTATTGATAATGATAATTTTATTATTAAATTTATTAAAAGATTTGACAGAATAGACTGAGACATATTGTTCATCATGATTATAGCGAACTACTCTACCCTGTCTCGCTTTTAGTGAACTAAAATAAAGTGGGTTGAGTACAAATCATATTCCTTAATAACATTAATTTATAAAATTTATTAAAATGGAAAAAAAGTATAGCATCGGTAGTCCAACGGTTAGGATAATTGCCTTCCAAGCAGTAGACCTGTTCGACTCCCGGCTGATGCATGCAATTTAATTTTCTTGAGTAGTCATTTCTATTATTTCGTTTTTAATAACATATAAATAATATGATCCTTCACAAAAAGCATCCATTACTCTTTTGATTGCTGTTTTGGTCATTATGCACTAGTAATTGGACATAAAAAGGTTTTATCAGAAGAGCAATACATAAAAACTTCACAACTAAGACAGTGCCAAATGCGTAGAACATATATCAGAACAGCTTCATTAGAAAAGGGACCAAGGCTTAAAATATTCAACAACTTTTTATGTTGTAGCAATGTCTGGCTTTTTCTATTTTCTTCCATTCTCTTTTTTGGTGATAATTTGAATTTCCATGTACAATATTTTCCCACTTGCCTCGTTTGCTTAGCAGTGGATGAATTGAATACGAGCAAACAAAAAAAGGGGTAGAATTAAATCCACAATCTGCCCATTCTGCACTTATGCAAATCATCTTTACTTTTCCCATTCTGTCAGGGATGGACCAATGAAAAGAAAAAAAAAATGCTTTCTTTACATATTTACACTTTCAATTTGTTGGTACCTACACAAAGAGTGCCAGTAAAGAAAAACAAGGGGGTGTGCAGTTGCAGCAAAACAAAGTGAATTTGATAAAATGCTCTATATCTACACACAGATGATTAATTCTGTCAACTGAGTTTTCTAAAGTGTATCAATATGGATGCATGCTGCGTAAACAACAACGATTAAAACATCTGCAATAAAACAAAGACTCTAGATATATTCATAATTTCATCACCTGAAAATCTACATTTATTAGTAAGAAAGTGAGACAAATATGAAAAACAGCTAAACATGAACTACACAAAGGGAAGTAAAGGGTGAGAAAATATGTGCAAGACCTGGCCAAAATGGAAGAAGCAACTAACTAACAATCAATGTGATTTGGAGGTGCAGCGGGAGGGTATGTAAGTCCCATTGAAGGGTTGGAACTTGAGGTCACAATCTAGATGGCACAAGAACTTGAGCGACCCTAAAGGTCCTACCCTCCACTGAGTCCTTGCAGCCCCTTTGAAATCAAACTCAACCTCATTCTTTTTCCACGCATTACCCACTTCCTCCATTTGATCAGGACTCAATGGTATGGATGATGACTGAACAACATAGCTGAGGTCCTTTGAGCTGTTCTTTGGAACCTCAAAAGGGTCTGCAACAAGCACAGCTATGTCCTGCCCTTGGTAGCTGATGTTGAAGGTGATGCCAGAGAAGGTTGCATGAGCCTTGGCATTCCCATTCTTTGCAGTCACAATAATAGTGAGTTGGGTCTGGAGCAAACCAGCATAGTCATTTCTGAAAAGGTCAAGGTGAGCATTAGTGACACTGATCACAGGCACTCTAGGGTGGATCACCATGTACCCAATGAACACTGCAACGCCTACAAGTACCACTGCTACTGCTATGACGGTGCAGATAATGGCTACAAGCCACACCAAAGGGTTGGTGCGCCCATTCGCACCCATCACCAGTTTTCCCTTGAATTTCGGCATGGTTTTGGCCATGGTGACACGGCATGAACAAACAAAGACTAGAACATGCTTCTTGCTTCACTTGTTAATTTTATGGTATGGAAAAAGATGGAAAGGGTTTTTGAGAAGCTTCTGCAGTGAGGGAACTAGACGTGAGTTCTTTTAACTGTATTTGGAATGAAGGTTGGTATCTTCCTTTCCTCACTTGAAAGCATTAGATCTAGTGCATGTATGTTTTCTTATATGACATAAGCTTCTCCACAACTACGAATCTCAGCCGCTATTTTGTTTTGAAAAAGGTAAAAATACCAAACTTGCAGTGCTACATCCTACCCTATTATTCCTTTGTATCATTGTGTACAGAGCAAATTCTGTCCTTTGTTTCTGCAGCTCCCAACATGCATCAATTTCACACAAAACAAATGTGAATCTCAATCACTTCTATAACCATTTTAACAGGTTCTTTTAATTTAAATAAACTATTTAGTTGACCTTGTATTTGCAAAACCTCAATGTTATTATCTGTCCAACATTTTGTCCACTTGGAACCACATGGGTGGAAAATGTTTTACGTACTGATTTTCTATAGTTATAATTTTAATTACAAAGATTTAAATCCTGAAAATAATCCTTTATTCACATCAATATTTTCGGTATACAAGAGTACAACCAAAACATGTCGGTCAAGAGTTTTATTTCTTTTGTTATAATAAAGATCCCCGAGAGGAAGGTGAACTTAACATTAAATATATAACAAGGCCCAACTTTTTTCCTCACTCTTCAAGACTTGAATGTGTTGAGTTTTTTAAGGCATCAGCTTTTTTCCAACACTAAAACTTGCATGTTTAAAGATATAGAGACAGAAGGTTAAGAAAATGTAATGGAAGGAAAATTTTACAAATATATTTATATTTTATTTAAAATATTTTTTATTTCTTAAGTGAACTAAAGCGAAACATTTTCAATAGGTCTGCGCCTCGCTTCCTCCTTCAGCTGTTTTGTTGGCCGATTTGGATTTGTTACAATTCTAAACTGTATCTATGATACCTCCTGATCTCATTGTTTTTTCCACCTTCATTTCTTTGTAAACAGAATTAGAATCCTTTCCATGAGCATCCAAATATGCCAAAAATGAAAAAGGCAACGCTGCAATTTTCTTAAATATTTAAACAATGTTTCAAACACGAGATTATGCTTCAAAACAATGACAATCAAATTGAATATCTATTTTTTAGGTAGCAAAATGCAATACCTAATGGTATACTGTTATACTGACAGCCGATAATACTCATTAAATCCAAATCATATAGTTGCTAACATTAGAAAGATAGACAATTATTTACACAATTCTCTGTATTAAACAAATGCTCATTTGAAGCTGTGCTTCATTTGGCTAGACTAGAAAAGACTAAATAACTGATATCACGATGTTAAAAAGATATATATACCAGAATAACAGTTGATATAAGCTTGAGTTATGCTTCGACCATTTGTGATATTCTAGAAGCATATAATATTTTATACTGAGTTTTACACCTCAATATGTGACAAGGAACATCTATAAGTACAATTGAAAGTAATAAATAGACTTATTAGCCACCAGCTGTTGGTACGAATTGAGGGGAACTTTGCTGATAACCTTCACCTTGATATGCTATTTATAAGTAGCACCATAAGCCCTTGCTAAGAAATGTGGCATGCCATGTTTTAGGAATCATACTTTTCACTTTCACAAAACTATTCCCAACCAAAAAACAGTAAGGACTAGTAACGTCTTTCCTCTTCTATGCAGACAAACTGTGGGGAAAAGACAAACTGTAGTCATAAAATAAAACTTTATCAACGCAAGATACTATGAATTTGTAGCAGGTTCCTAGAAAGCATTACATCAGATGAGTCAAGAGTGTTCATTATGACTTACAAGATCTCAGAAATTCTGATTAACTACATGGACCTTTTTCAACTAGGGAGTAAATTTCATGTTTGAGAGATGATTGCACCAAGGAAAGTAAAGATACGGGGGAAATGGAAAAAAAAAGGAGGAGTTTGGCTCTCAGCAATATGCAACAAGTTTGTCACGTTTTTAGCCTAGTATAACAGGATGAACATTTTAATAAAAGGAAGAAACAGAGCTTTACCTGGGTGGGTTCTTTGTTGGTCAAGCCATGGCTAGAGCTAGAGCAAGAAACAAGAAGTAGCAACAGAGGATGAGTGAGAGAATAACACATGAATTTTGATTCAGAAGTACCTAGCTTATACGAGTGAGAACCCAAAGGGGGGAATGGGGCAGAGTGTGATCCAAATAAACATACCCACAATTCAACTATCATATGACTATAGAAAAATGCTTCAATAATGCACATATGGTGAAAAGCATGGTTGAGTAAGGTGTATCTCTTTGGAATTGTCAACCAATTGGCCTCAGAAATGGAAAACTCCATGACACTTACAATATTCAGAGTATTCTTGAAAAAAAAAAAAAAACAGAGTATTTGAAACATCAATTTAAGTGCATGAAAAGGCCAAAACCAAAATAACAAAAGAAAATCCACCTATTGGCACGTACACCACCCCTAAGATAGCTTTATCATTTAACTCTCCACCACTTTGGGTCTTTGTTCTGGTCCAGAGTGTTTTAAATTACGGTTGTGGATGCAGTTGCAGAGACCTTGAAAACTTTGATCGTGCACAACAATTCTAGTACAATGACTCCCCACTTCCACCAAAAAGGCAATGATATCCATTAGAGATGCACAAAATATTAGAGTAATAGCATGAGGCACTTGCATTAAAGCCTACATTGACAATATATCTTGACGTAGGAGCACGGAAAAAGGAAACTCGATTTGCAGTTTTTCTCTAAGAAAGCAAGCATGTGCAACTTTCATGGGAAGTCAACAAAAAATTGTCATCCTACAGAATATGAAAAGCACATTGAAGGGACAATGCTGGGCTGGGACTGGGTAATCAAACGATAGTCAAATGCAAAATAATTACATAAAAGTCACTCAAATTCAAATATAATTATTCTATCATGACTACTTATGTTAAAAAAACATGAAATCCAAATACAATTCATGAACCGCTTAGTTCATCTTAGGTAGCTGCAATTGATCAGCCTAAAAAATTATTAACATAAACTTTTAATATGAGCAGAATAAAAGAAATTATATAGAAAGACAACATGGACAAGAAATTATCCAGAAGGAAAGGCTACCATGGATTGAAAACAAAGCAACTCAAAGAACACTGCTTGAAAGAAAGGCACAGCTGACTGAGACAGTCAAGAACAAGCAAAACCTACCTGTCTATGAGACCAACAGTTGAGTGTTAAATTTAAGCATAAACCAGCAAATATCCAACAGAGTTACAGAGGGGACTGAGAAAATCTATCAGCAAAACCATTAAAAATGACTTAAATTTTAAAGTCAATAGTGTTTCTATAGACTGTCTTAGATTCATGTTACCAATCACACCCAGTAGGAACAAGCTTTGTTGTTGTTGTATTCACCTAGAATTAAATTTTCATTCCCCAAACAATAATATAAAAAGGAAGAACTTTTTAATGTAAAGGAAACAACAGTGGTTTGCCGGGGTACTTTGTTCACAAACCATGCCTGGAGAAAGAAATGAGAATTAGCCAACGCAGGAAGAGGAAAAGAGAGTCCATAACTTTTCTATGCAGGAGTGCCAAAGTTCTATATTAATGGAAGGGAGTGGGGCAATGGGACAGGAGCAGCTTGTTCTGCAAATGAACATACCCACAGTTGACTTCCATACAAACCTTTAATAGAACTAGAACAGAAATAACAAGAAAGTGGTAAACATAATCAAATCAATCCCCATTTTGTAGCTCACTGGAGTGAATTCGTAAGCTGGAATGAACAAGACATTACTGAAAAATGGAAAATATAAACCAGGTATTCAAGAGACAAGGACTCTCCCACTGAAATTCTGATCAAAATCTTCCATGCTCACCAATGTATTAAATAATAATTATACCATAACACTGTAATGTGGCATCTTTAGACCCCTCCACCATTTGCCATATGTAATTTGCTTGACGGCATTGTCCGCCATGGTGCTCACCATTCTATGCTTGTGGCACCCACAAGGTAGGTATTCCTCTCCAAACATTGTTTATTCCATACTCAAAGTGGGATTACTAGAATTTGAACCCTGGACTACTTGGTTAAAGGAAACAAGCAGCTACCAGTTGTACCATCCGATGTTGGTTTACTAACAACATTTAACAACGCATGCACTATAAACAGAATGTTTGTGGATGTTGGAGTTAAAGGGGCATCAAGAGAAAAATATGGGGTAGCAACAATAAAAAAAAATATGAGTGGTCACACAAGAAAGGGCAAAATAGGTGATTAATTAATACAAAGATTTATTGGTGTGGTGCCAATTGAGAAAAGGATGATAAAAAATCAATTACGGTAGTTTAAATACGAGCGAGAAAAAGTTATTAACCAGTAAAGATTATGTGCATGGTTTGTGGTCAGGAAAAGAGACAGTGGAAGACCAAAAAAGACATTGATGAAATTGTTAAGAGGAGCCTAACGATGAATAACAATCCTAAGAATTTGGCCTTTAACCAAGCCCAGTGACCACATGTGAATCCATACGACCAACTTCACCAGGTGGGATAAGGATTTTGTTTTTGTATTATAAAGAATTGTATGAGTAATGCATATAAAAAAGAAAATATTTAAAATGCCTATTTACGTGAGTCAATCTCCAACATTAAAAAATGAAGTATAATCATATAATTATCAAAAAACACATTTATAATCATTGTCAAGAAAAGATAAATTGTTATTTATATATGGAACAAGGAAAGTCAAGTCAATATGCAACTTTGTTAAATAGATGCTGATTTTAATGTAAAGGCCAACAAAAACTGCCTGCACCACAAAATGCGAACCAAAAAATGGAGATATATTGCCAGGATAATAATCATAACTGCAAGCCAAATGAAAATATTTACGGAAAGTGTTTTCATTCATACCAAATATTTTATACTATGATCATCCTAACTCTAGAAATCTGCATGCAAATCGACCATGATTCAAGATTTATTAATAAGTTGATTCTAAAGTACAGTATCACCAGCTTAAAAAATATTAATATAGACATTTAATATGTGGAAGAAAAGAAATTAGACAAGAAATATAACTACTAGGACAAAAAGACTATCACAAGGAAAGGCAACCATGGAGTGAATATGATTGAACTTGTAGAAAACCACTTAGCCATCCAAGGCAGTCAAGAACGAGTATAACCTGCCTGTCTTTGGCAACTACGGTTGAAAAGCAAACTAATTTTTAGATTACAACTGGACATGAGCTTTCCACTTCCTATAAAGACTATCATATCTGTCTCTTGAACTTCTACCTTCTCTATAGAAGGCATCCTTCAGTAACGTCATTGTCGATTCATACACCTTGATCCTTCGATCAAGCACATCCTCTGCTAGCCTCTTCACCTCTGAGAATCTACTCATGTTACAAAGACCAACTAACATCGCATTCGCACTCTCGTCAAGCGGCTTGACACGATTCTCAACAACATAATTCCAAATTTCATGTGCTGCTTCTGGGTCATCACAATCAAACAACATTGCGATGGCAGCAGCGCAGTTAGAGCCCGTGGGTGGCCACTCATTCTTGATCATCTCGGCGAAGAACCTCTCCGTCTCGCGTGCCTTCTTGTTCTTCACCAAGCACTCAAAGATCATGTTGTAGGTGAGGGAGTCCGGAAAAGCACCATGGAATGCCATCTCATCGAGCAAGCGAAACGCGTGATCAACAACAGCATTGTTGCAGAGCAACCCAATCATGGCATTGTACATGATCAAATTAGGCACTAACTCGCCACTGACCATCACATCCCACATAGGGGCAGCGTGATGGGCGTCGTTTCGCTTGACAAGAGCGTCAAGCGCGTTGGTAAAGAATTTCAAACCTGGGAAGCAGTCATGGTCCTTCATAACCTGAAGGAACCTGACAACATCATCCATGAGGTCAGCGTGAAAGAGGGTCATAAAAAACGCGTCGTAGGCAGCAACATTGTCCTTGTCCCAGCCAACTTGAGCCACCATATCCCCAAACGTGATCTTAGCTTTGGCAGCATTGCCTTCCTTCTGCCACCCTTCGAGAAGAATGGCGAAGGTGTCGCCGTCAGGCGACACCTTCCCCTTTATCCTCTCGAGGAACTCGAGGCCCGCGGATGTTTGGTTGTCCTCGGTGCAAATGGCGCTGAGGAGCGAGTTAAGGGCGACCACGTCCTGCTTGACGCCGTACCTATCCATGACGTCGAAGCTCATGAAGGCCTCATTAAATCTACCGGCGGCGCAGTAGCTCTGGAAGACGGAGGCGAAGGTGGAGAGAGAAAGCTTATCTTCCTGTTTCATGGACCTGACGGCGTCCCACATGGGCTCGAAAAGCTGGTTTTTACCCAGCAGGTCGACCATCAAGTTCCAGGTGTGGGCCGGGTGCTTTTTGCCACGCCCGGCCCACCGGAAGAACTTGACGGCGGAGGAAGGGTAATTGTAGGAGAGTTTGAGGACCTCGTTGACGAGGTCCTCCTCCGGAACGATTCCCGAGGAGGAGAGGGCGGTTTCGATGTCATGAGGGGAGGTGCGGGTGAGGATGTCGCAGAGTGCACGCGCGGTGGAGGAGACGTTGGGCGCGTCGATGTGGGAGGGGAATTGGTTGGGTTTGGGAATCGGGGGTGGTTGCGGTTTGTTAGGGTTTATGGATGGGGGGTACTTTAACCCCCTCGACCTAGCGGGGTTTTCGGCCACTGCCTCCATTTGACGATTCATGAATCGATGGGTCCGGGGCGGGGCATCGAAGGGGCTTCAAGAACCTTGAATTTTGCGTTGAAACAGTGTACGATTGGATTGACGACAGAATGTGAAGGCGCGCAGAGAAATGGGAATTGAAGATTGGTGGCAAAAAAGGGTATGATATGGCGTTTTGTTTTGAAAGTTTTTGTTTTGGACTGGTTCAGTTCAGAGACTCGCCGCAAGGAAGAAAGTTCAGCCGAGTAATGGAGGAGAGGGAGATTCTTGTGAGCTGATTCAATTGTGTGTGGAGTGAATCTGTGATACATGCACGTGCGTAGAAATGGGCCTTTCTGATGAGGTGGCCCAAATTAGTTGGAGTTTGATTACCATACCAATTGTTTTTATAAGTTGGAAAAATAACTGTCTCTACAATATTTGTAGCTTTCATACTTAAAATAAATAAATCATTGGCATGAATGATGTTATTTATTAAGTGACACCTTAGCTATTAAGTAAGATTAATAATACATGTATATTTTTTTTCCTTAAGTGATGAGTTGTTGGTTCCATAAATATGTTAGTATTAAATATGAGTTAGAACAAAAAAGAAAACAATTTTTTTATGATTCATAAGGATTTTGTCTCCTAATTCTTTCAACCTTTATTATTTTATTGTGAAACCTAAAGATAAAGTAGTAGTATAACTAATGTATATATATTTTTTAAATTAATTATGTTTTATGAAAAAACGAATATATATATTATTTATCTTCATCTTTTTGAGGGCTTATTCTCTCAATATTTTCCTATTTAATGGTGAAAACCCAAAGAAAAAAATGTTATAAGGGATGAAGGACATTATTTGTATTATATTAACCAGTAAAAACTTATTTGTATGTCTATATTTTTTTTATAATAGTTTTTTATTTATTGTGAAAGAGTTTCTTTGTTGAGTGAAATATAACAAAGACGTCTAGTTGAAAGTGTTTCAAGAAGGAAATTGCGATAATCTTTTATTATTTTTATTTATTGAATTTATTTCAGAGACTAATTGAAAAAAACAAAAAAAATTTATTTCTAATTATGTATTATTGATTATAAGTAAATATGAAAGAACATTCCAAGAGAGTACAAAATGATATTTTTTATCATTTTTATTTTAAAAAATATTTAGTAAACTTAATATATATATATATATATATATATATATATATATATATATACATATATATATAATTAAGATAAATAATATAGCAAGATTCTTAAAAAATAATTATAAAAATAAATTTCTTATTATATAATTATAGAATAGTTTCTTTCTTTATATATATATATATATATATATATATATATATATATATATATATAATAAAATAAAAGCTCTACTCAATAACTCATTTTGTCACTTAAGAAATGAAGAGTAAAACAGAAATAAAATTTTGATTGTGATTAAAATGAGAAAAAACTATGGAAGAGAGAAAAAAGTTGTAAAAAATTATTAGAGTAAAAATAAATAAATAAATACTTATCCATCTTACTCAATATAACGGACAAATTATCATTTAAGTTACATGAGTAATTTTTTTAGAACCAAAAAGAAAGAAAATATTTATTAATAACTATATGTAAAAATCATGAGAGGCAAAAAAAAATTTAAACCAAAATTATAATATATATAATAATTACTACTTATTATATTCATTTATTTTGTAACTTGTTTTTTTAAATCTGTATTTATATCCACTACTCACAAATTTCCATATTTTTTCGATATTTTATTTATATACCGCTGATATTTAATGGAATATTTTTATATAAATATTATATTTTAAAATAAAATATTGATATTTTTGGTGATTAAAATCACTATACAATTTTATCCTTTTTAACGTATAGGAGAAATCACAAACTCTCTGAAGAAAAAAAAACCCACCTATTAATATAATAATAATAATAAAATTTATATTTATAACGTGTATTATTTATAGAAATAATAATTTGACAATATGAAAAAAATCTATAATTTATTTTTTTAATATAATAATAAAATTTTATGTTTTTATTTTATTATTAAAAATGAGTTATTGAATTAAAGTTTGAAATAAATGTTTTAAAAAATAAGATTGTGTTAGGATAAAGATATTTAATTAGTTAAATTATAAGTTTGTATAACGGTACAAAATATTGTATAATTAGAACTTCATTTATTTAGTCCTTATTTATTTGAGTAAAATATTATAAGATCATAGTATCTCGTGTACAATTTGTTAGAATCGCAGCAATGAATGTTAGCGTGGTCGGACAAAAACCAAGAGGGGGTGAATTGGTTTCTTAATAAAAATTAGGTTTTCAAAATTTTCCCCAAATTTTACCGATTAAAAACTGCGTAAATGTAAATAGAGAAGAGTAGAGAAGATTACACAGTAGGTTTATACTGGTTCGGATCAAAAGACCCTACGTCCAGATTGCTAATCACTCAAAAGAGGATTAACGCTGTCACTAAGAACAAAGTTGTTACAACACAAATTATAATGAAAAAGATAAAGTTAAAGATAAAACCTCTCTTGAAATCCACAAGAGATGATAAACAGCTTTTCCCTGGAGACTGACAAAGACACAATCCACTAAGAACTCCACTTAGTGATTCTTATCGCTTCTAGCCTCACACCAAGTTTCCAAAAGCCCCGAAGAACAGCTTTCCCCGGAGACGAGCACAAGCACTCAATCCACTAAGAACTCCACTTAGTGATTCTTATCGCTTCTAGCCTCACACCGAGTTTCCAAAAGCCCCCTTTCCTTGCAACAAACAGTTCTCGGCACTCACAAGCACTTAACTTTTGTATGGAAAGAGTTGTTCTTTAGTTGTTCATTATTTCGAGTGCTAAAGCAGAGTTTAAGTAGGGAAATTAGGGTTTAGGAATTGAGGATTTCGAAACTAGGGTTCTTGGTAATTGGGTTTTCGAAAATAGGGTTAATTTGAAATTTAATTTGAAAAACAGATCGAAATAATCGATTATTTGGAGTAATAATCGATTAAAACAAGCCAAATACTTCGAACCCAACCCTCTCGGAATAATCGATTATTTGGTGAAATAATCGATTATCTGTACTGACAGTACAAAACAATCGATTCTTTTGTTGTTTTAATCGATTAAAACAGTGAGTTTGTATAGAAAGTGTTTTCTCATTGTTTTAATCGATTATTTACCTATATAATCGATTAAACCCGAGCCTGAATGATAAATTTGAGCTTTTTGAAGCTTCTAAGTTACGGACTATGTACCAGCTATCTTAGACTCTAAAAATACAGACTCAATCTTAAATAAATCAGAAGTTATTACAATACAATTATCACCAATCTTCAATCTTCAATATTCTAAGTCTTTAGTTCTTGGATCATCATCAAAATCCATTCTTCATATTCATCAAGTGCAACATCAAGTCCTTGAATTGTCAACAATCTCCCCTTTTTGATGATGATCAAAATTTTCTTTTAAAGCCCTTTGTAATAACCTGTTTTATCCGTCATACTAACAAACACATTAAACATACCAGATAAAATTTAAAATTGAATCATAGGCTTTAAATTTTTCTCCCCTATTTTGATTATAATCAAAAAGAACTCTGCAACATCAATCATAAGAGCTCCCCCTCAAAATATGCATAAGTTAGAGAAAGCTCCCCCTCAATCATAGCATAAAAGAAACATCATATTTTACAACATCAAGACAATAACAAAAGAAAATTCATCAATTATCTCTACATTAGACAACTTTAATCGATTATTTCCAGTAAATAATCGATTTTTAGAGGCATTTAATCGATTATTTCACGAGATAATCGATTATTCCAGAGGAGAATACCCTGTTTTGGACGTTTTGAGGAAAAATAATCGATTATCACTTCCAGAATCGATTATTCCAGAGGCTATATTAAGTTTTTTAAGGTTTTTACACATTATAACCTATGAATATCCTGCATCACGAATTTAATCATAACAATCATCCAAAATCATTCAAATTAAGCAGAATTTAAGCTATTTCTAGTATCCCTAAGTCTCTTCTAAGATCATAGAATCTATCCTTGGGTAGAGGCTTAGTAAATATATCTCGCTAATTGACGTTTAGTGTCTACATACTCTATCTTACAGTTTCCTTTGCTGATATTATCTCTTAAAAAGTGATGTCTAATCTCAATATGTTTAGTCCTAGAGTGCATTACTCGGATTTCTAGTTAAGTTGATTGCACTCGTATTATCACACATTAATGGAATGTCATTTAAATATATGCTATAATCCTCTAATTGTTGTTTCATCCACAGAATTTGAGCACAACAACTACCAGCTGCAATATATTCAACTTCAGTGGTAGATAAAGCAACACATGCTTGTTTCTTAGAATGCCATGATATTAAGGATGAACCTAACAAATGACATGTCCCACTAGTGCTTTTCCTATCAATTTTACATCCACCATAATCAGCATCGAATATCCTAATGAACTAATACAAGCATCAGACGGATACCACAAGCCAAATCCAAGTAGTTCCTTTTAAGTATTTTAAAATATGTTTTACTGCAATTAAATGAGATTCTTTAGGACAAGCCTGAAATCTAGCACACACACAAACAGAATGCATAATATCGGTCTACTAGCAGTTAAGTATAATAGTGATCCTATCATACCTCTATACATAGTTTGATTTACTTCCAAACCCGATTCATCCTTGTCTAAATAGCATGAAGTTCCCATGGGTGTGTTAGCTTCCTTAGAGGTGTCCATACCAAACTTTTTGAGAATTTCCTTGCAGTATTTAGTTTGAGAGATGAAAGTGCCATCTTTAAGTTGCTTGATTTGTAGTCCAAGGAAGAATGTCAATTCTCCCATCATAGACATTTCAAACTCTCCCTGCATTATCTTAGCAAATTCTACACATAACAAACTATCAGCTTGATCCAATAATATATCAACAAGTAACACATCTTTGATCTCCAAAGTGTTTGCACCGCAGTTGCTCAATTGATTGCTTAAGGATGTGTGAAAACTTATATTCAATGTGAGTTTAGAAAGTTCAAGCCAAACTGTTTTCAATAGAAGATTTTCAAAAACTGCTGGTTTAATTAATCTGTTAAAAGTTTCTCTTAATCTGTTAAAGTGCAGTTTTAATCGTTAAAACATCTTTTAATCGATTAAAACGCAGTGTAGAAAAAGTTTTTAAGTTGTTTTAATCGATTGAAACGAGTTTTTAACCGATTAAAAGAGTTCTGATCGGTCATAATAAAAATCTGATCGGTCATCCTGACTCGACCGGTCATAATAAAAATCT